ACCCAAGTTTGTTCAAATGAAAGCCCTGGGGTCAAAATTGGCCCCGCCCCAGGGGGTCATTGATTTTCCCTATATGCATATAGTAAAAACTTTGAAAATCTTCTTTTAAAGAACCAAAAGAGTTAGAGCTAAGATATTTAGCATGAAACATCTTCTAGTGAGTGTCTACCAAGTTTGTTCAAATAAAAGCCCTGGGGTCAAAATTGGCCCCGCCCCGGGGGGGTCATTGATTTTCCCTATGTGCATATAGTAAAAACTTAAAAAATCTTCTTTTAAAGAACCCAAAGAGCTAGAGCTAAGATATTTAGCATGAAACATGTTCTAATGGCTGTCTACCAAGTTTGTTCAAATAAAAGCCCTGGGGTCAAAATTGGCCCCGCCCCGGGGGGGTCATTGATTTTCCCTATATGCATATAGTAAAAACTTAAAAAATCTTCTTTTAAAGAACTCAAAGAGCTATGGCTAAGATATTGAGCATCAAACATGTTCTAATATATGTCTACCAAGTTTGTTCAAATAAAAGCCCTGGGGTCAAAATTGGCCCCGCCCCGGGGGGGGTCATTGATTTTCCCTATATGCATATAGTAAAAACTTAAAAAATCTTCTTTTAAAGAACCCAAAGAGCTAGAGCTTAGATATTTGGCATGAAACATCTTCTAGTGAGTGTCTACCAAGTTTGTTCAAATAAAAGCCCTGGGGTCAAAATTGGCCCCGCCCCGGGGGGGGTCATTGATTTTCCCTATATGCATATAGTAAAAACTTAAAAAATCTTCTTTTAAAGAACTCAAAGAGCTATGGCTAAGATATTGAGCATCAAACATGTTCTAATAGGTGTCTACCAAGTTTGTTCAAATGAAAGCCCTTGGGTTAAAATTGGCCCGCCCCAGGGGGTCATTGATTTTCCCTATATGCATATAGTAAAAACTTAGAAAATCTTCTTTTAAAGAACCAAAAGAGTTAGAGCTAAGATATTTAGCATGAAACATGTTCTAATAAGTGTCTACTAAGTTTGTTCAAATAAAAGCCCTGGGGTCAAAATTGGCCCCGCCCCGGGGGGTCATTGATTTTCCCTATATGCATATAGTAAAAACTTAAAAAATCTTCTTTTAAAGAACTCAAAGAGCTATGGCTAAGATATTTAGCATCAAACATGTTCTAATAGGTGTCTACCAAGTTTGTTCAAATAAAAGCCCTGGGGTCAAAATTGGCCCCGCCCCGGGGGTCATTGATTTTCCTTATATGTGTATAGCAAAAACTTAAAAATCTTCTTTGAAAAAACCCAAATAGCTAGAGTTAAGATATTAAGCATGAAACATCTTTTAGTGTGTGTCTACAAAGTTTGTTCAAATAAAAGACCTGGGTCAAAATTGGCCCCGCCCCGGGGGTCATTGATTTTCTTTATATGTGTATAGCAAAAACCTAAAATCTTCTTTGAAAAAACCCTAGAGTTTAGATATTAAGCATGAAACATCTTCTAGTAAGTGTCTACAAAGTTTGTTCAAATAAAAGCCCTGGGGTCAAAAACTGGCCCGGCCCCAGGGGTGTCATTGTTTTTAACTATATGTGTATAGTAAAAACTTTAAAAAAAAATCTTCTTTTAAAAAAGCCCAATGAGCTAGAGCTTAGATGTTTAGCATGAAACATCTTCTTATGGGTGTCTACCAAGTTTGTGCAAATAAAAGCCCTTGGGTTAAATTGGCCCTGCAACTTTGGGGTGGGGGTTGGGGGAGCCTATATACAGGTGAGCGACCTCAGGGCCATCATGGCCCTCTTGTTTATCTGTTTTATAGGAGAATAATTTGAAGCATTTTAGAATAATAATTGAAACATATGATCTTTTGTATGATGTGATTTTGATTTATACATTCATATTTGTGTAATATATTTTACTATATATACCTTACTAGAATATACTATTATGTTATTACAACAATGTACATGTAGGTAGGAGATTTACCAGATGAAGATGTAGCCCCACCAGAGAATGTATTGTTTGTATGTAAACTAAACCCTGTTACAACAGATGAAGATCTAGAGGTCATCTTCTCCAGATTTGGTGACATTAAAAGGTAATGCACATTGTCAGATCTTAGGCTAAAGAAAGTGTTTTCTGGTAATCTTCAGTATATAAGAATAGGGGTGTCACAATTAGCAAAAATATTCACAATTAGCCAACTAATTAGTGGTCGCTGGTCAGATTGTGCTAAAGTCGCTTGACACATTGAAGATATAAGAGAGGAAATTATCGGGGAAAATAAAAGTGGTAGCTGAAGACAAATGTCGCTTAATACATGTAGTCGCATAGGCAAATTAAAGTGTATTTTAAATATGATAATAGATATTTTATTCTGTCCTTTTTTACATTAATGAACATTGTGGAATAAACCACTACATGATATAAAGGATTTGGCCAATCTGCAACAAGCAATATATATATGTCCCTTCTTAGTTAACAATTTTTAGAGGAGTGTTACACCTGAAGTGCTCTTGTTAACACAGTGAAATACAAAGTTGTCTTGCTAGGACATGTCATTATACATCCTGGACCACAATGAAAACAATTGAATTCACTCACACACACTTGTTTGTGTTATCTGGGGTATATAAATACTTGTCCTGGTACATCTTTCATTATATCAATAACTTAAATATATAAAATATCTTTTAAATGTCTTCAAAAAAGATTATGATTTTACTGTGTTTTTAGTTTGTCTTCTTATTAGTAGTTTGAAAGTCATAAATAGTCTTTCATTATGTTTGTTTGTATTTTGTTCATGATAATAATTATGTGATATTGTTACTCATTTTGTACTATGAAATATATTTATATAATGAAATAAATAAATATGATTCCTATTTCTCAGACCACAGCCCTTTATATGGGGTTTCAACTTGTTTTGGTGCTGGTCAAGGTCTTTGAGGATAGAAATAGATTTCCACATTACCTTGTTTAAATCTTGGAGCAACCATTAGTCACAGATATTTATATGTTTATAATTATCATTGTTAATATGTATGTTTTCAGTTGTGAAGTTATCAGGGATCAGAAGACACAAGAGTCTCTGCAATATGCATTTATTGAGTTTGATAATGTAAGTTTTATCTCAGTGTTGAAAAGTATACCTAGTTAAAAACTAAACTTTCAGGATATGAATGCTTCCTGAATATTATATGACTTTATTTTATAAATAGAGGATATTCAATGAGTATAGGTTTAATAGTAAATTTATTAAACAAGTTGAATAAAATCATATGATTCGAGCCTCTGGCAAGCATAATATTGTTTAATTCAAAGAGTTCAATGAATTTAGTATCAAATCTACACAAATAAAATATTCTTTTTATCACATATATAAAAAATACTGGTAAACTGTGAAAAAGAGTATTTTTAGCTCACCTGTCACAAAGTGACAGGGTGAGCTTTTGTGATCGCTTTTCGTCCGGCGTCCGTCCGTCCGGCGTCCGTCGTCCGTCCGTAAACTTTTGCTTTAAATGACATCTCCTCATAAACCACTGAGCCAATTTCATCCAAACTTCATAGATATGTTACTTTGGTGGTCACCTTTAAAAATTGTTCAAAGAATTTAATTCCATGCAGAACTCTGGTTGCCATGGCAACCGAAAGAAAAATCTTTAAATATCTTCTTTTAAACAACCCTAAGAGCTAGAGCTTAGATATTTGGCATGAAACATCTTCTAGTGAGTGTCTACCAAGTTTGTTCAAATAAAAGCCCTGGGGTCAAAATTGGTCCCGCCCCAGGGGGTCATTGATTTTCCCTATATGCATATAGTAAAAACTTAAAAATCTTCTTTTAAAGAACCCAAAGAGCTAGAGCTAAGATATTTGGCATGAAACATCTTCTAGTGAGTGTCTAACAAGTTTGTTCAAATTAAAGCCCTGGGGTCAAAATTGGCCCCGCCCCGGGGGTCATTGATTTTCCCTATATGCATATAGTAAAAACTTAAAAAATCTTCTTTTAAAGAACCGTCAGAGCTAGAGCTTAGATATTTGGCATGAAACATCTTCTAGTGAATGTCTACCAAGTTTGTTCAAATAAAAGCCCTAGGGTCAAAATTGGCCCCGCCCCAGGGGGTCATTGATTTTCCCTATATGCATATAGTAAAAACTTAAAAATCTTCTTTTAAAGAACCCAAAGAGTTAGAGCTAAGATATTAAGCATGAAACATCTTCTAGTGAGTGTGTACCAAGTTTGTTCAAATTAAAGCCCTGGGGTCAAAATTGGCCCCGCCCCAGGGGGTCATTGATTTTCCCTATATGCATATACATTTTGTAGTAAAAACTTAGAAAATCTTCTTTTAAAGAACCAAAAGAGTTAGAGCTAAGATATTTAGCATGAAACATCTTCTAGTGAGTGTCTACCAAGTTTGTTCAAATAAAAGCCCTGGGGTCAAAATTGGCCCCGCCCCGGGGGGGTCATTGATTTTCCCTATGTGCATATAGTAAAAACTTAAAAAATCTTCTTTTAAAGAACCCAAAGAGCTAGAGCTAAGATATTTAGCATGAAACGTCTTCTAGTGAATGTCTACCAAGTTTGTTCAAATAAAAGCCCTCGGGTCAAAATTGACCCCGCCCCAGGGGGTCATAGATTTTCCTTATATGCATATAGTAAAAACTTAAAAAATCTTCTTTTAAAGAACCCAAAGAGCTAGAGCTAAGATATTTAGCATGAAACATCTTCTAATGAGTGTCTACCAAGTTTGTTCAAATAAAAGCCCTCGGGTCAAAATTGGCCCGCCCCAAAAACTTAAAAAATCTTCTTTTAAAGAACTCAAAGAACTAGAGCTAAGATATTTAGCATGAAACATGTTCTAATGGGTGTCTACCAAGTATGTTCAAATAAAAGCCCTGGGGTCAAAACTGGCCCCGCCCGGGGGGGGGGGGGGTGTCATTGATTTTCCTTATATGTGTATAGCAAAAACTTAAAAATCTTCTTTGAAAAAACCTAAATAGCTAGAGTTTAGATATTAAGCATGAAACATGTTTAAGTAAATATCTACAAAGTTTGTTCAAATAAAAGCCCGGGGGTCAAAACTGGCCCTGCCCCAGGAATGTCATTGTTTTTAACTATATGTGTATAGTAAAAACTTTAAAAATCTTCTTTTAAAAAACCCAATGAGCTAGAACTTAGATGTTTAGCATGAAACTTTTTCTTATGGGTGTCTACCAAGTCTGTTCAAATAAACAAATAAAAGCCCTTGGGTAAAAATTGGCCTGGGGGTGGGGGGGGGCCTATATACAGGTGAGCGACCTCAGGGCCATCATGGCCCTCTTGTTTCAATGATGCGCCCATAGTGTAACTCTAACATTAGCACACTTTAACGCTATGTGTATATATACTGCAAATATCGTCTCGTCAAAGTGTTATTACTCTAGTGTAATATCAGTTTTATTAAATGGCTTTATAACACTCCTGCTCTGCCGTCTATGTGATAAATGTATGTGTGGTGATCAGAAAGTACGTAACTTCTATATTTGATATTTGACATTTAAGATGTCTGACAAAACCACTGTCGGTCACCATAAACTCTGTGACCTGTGTAATGAGTGGAGGAACACTAAGTCTTTTCTTACTAACAAACCATATGACCTTGACACTGTTGGTTGGACATAAATCAATTCAAACAAACAAACAAAATCTGGTAAGGGCATGATTTGATATTGGAAGAACTTGTACTAGACCAACCCATTTGCATTTTTCCATTCTTTTTCTTTATGTATCTTACAGTAATAAGATATGTTCTCATTTACCAACGTGAATTTTTATTTACATTTTGTATATATTTCCAGCCACAATCGTGTGAAAATGCTTATTTTAAGATGGATAATGTGTTAATAGATGATAGAAGAATACATGTAGACTTCAGTCAGTCTGTCTCAAAAATAAAATATAAAGGCAAAGGTTTGTACACACATATTTGTTTGCCTTGTTTGTAGTCTGTATTGTTAAATTAATGTCTTATTGTAGTGAATAAAAAACATATAGAAAAAATTGTTTTAATTGCTAATCATTACTCTTGAAGTTTGAATCATCATTAGTGTCTGAAGTTGTTATTCATTTCTTGAATGAATTATGAAATTACCTGTTCATAAAGCAAAATTTCAATATAAGTTATGTATAATATCATAAACTAAGTATTAAGACAGGTTATACTGCAAATTGGTGTTAACCCTTCCTGGGTTTTTGCAAAATTGTAAAAGTGTCTGTCTCTCAATGTCTATCAACCTGGGATATTGGCTCTTTATTTTCTATTTTCTCAGAACCTAACTATAAAACTACTGATTAGTAAACAGATATCTTTAATTTAAAATTTCGTCACAGTTGAGAGAAAAAACTTGAAATCAAGAAATTTTGAATTTATTTAATATGTAAATATTTACAAATACATCTATTAAAAAAACTGATTATATAACCACTTGACTGGCCTGACTGTTTAAATAAATGAATTATAATATATAATTCCAGGAAGAGTAGAATTTGCAAAGGATTTCCAGAAAGAAGAAGACAGTTTTGCTTCAAAATTCAGGGTTAAAGATAATACTAGGAGGGACAAGTATCCTTTATGCTGGTTTTCTTTTTTAAAACCTGTTCAGGGTGTTTGATTTTGTTTTGAGTTTATAGTACTACAGACACAAAGTTTATATAGCAACTTATCAGTACTCCTTTAGAGGAAGATCTTTGTCGCCATTATTTAAGGTACAGTTGTTTTATAGGCAAATAAGTTAGTCTTTGATTTTTACTTGCCACTCTGTGACTGTTAAACATACACTTCAGAACATTAATGTTTTCAACCATTAAAAAAATGTGATACTTCACTCAAATTTATATTGTAAGGTTTGAATTTTGTATGTAACTGAACTTCTGAAATTACCTGATTTTATTTTTTATTATTACCTATAATTTGGTCACGGAATTTTAAATCTCCACATTAGACTTATGTTTTGTAGTTTACCTATGGTTAATAACTATAATATCATTATAGTGAAATACCTTAGGGATCATAATATACATTCATTCTACTCTCAACTTTGGTTTCCTTGACAACAAGCAGTAAATATGATCTAGTTTTTGAAGATGATGATGATTCTGACAGACAAAAGAAAAAGAAGAAGAAAAAGAAGCATAAACACAAGGGGAGAGAAAGTGACAGTGAGGAAGAAACTAGGGTAAACAACCAACTTAATAATTTATAAACTAGACTATTGTATTTAGAATAAAGCACCAGGAAGAATCATTGGTCTTAGAGCTATGCCTTCTTAGAACCATTGAACAGAAAAAACAAACCTTTCTTAGACTAAAACAAAAAAACGACAAAAACAACAAACAAACAAATAAAAATACTTTTAATAATTTGGAGGTATTTGAATATTTATGCTATTTGAATAATATTTTCTGTTTATTTCCTTTTATGATGTAAGTTGAATGCTTTCAAAATATTTGTTTTTATCAATATGACAATATAAAATAATTGTTTTTTATCTGTCTAACTGTAATTGAGTAGTTGTGAAATCTTATTTCAAGGTCTTCATTGTATGGCAGATATATACTTTCATGTTGATTGTATTTTATACTACAGCCTTTAAAACTGAAGAAAAAATACAAAACCAGAGACTCGAGTAGTCCAGATGAAAGGAGGCGCAGGTCACCGAGTCCAGAAATAAGAAGTCGTAGGTCACCGAGTCCAAATGTAAGGCGGCGTAGGTCACCGAGTCCAAATGTAAGGCGGCGCAGGTCACCTAGTCCAATGGGACATAAATCTTCCAAAAAACACTCTAAAAGAGATTCAAAGTCAAGGTCACCTGTGAGAAGGAAACAAAGGTCAAGGTCAAAAGACAGAAGGTCAAGGTCACCTGCTCGTAGATCTAGATCAAGGGATAGATATTCCAAAGACAAATACAGGGACAAAGAAAGAAAATACAGATGAAACAAAACAACAACAAGAAATCTCAAATTTTGATCTCAAATAATCAGGAAAGTTGAAGGCAGTGAAGTTTGTTAACACTAGAACCAGAAATATGAAAAGCTGCATGTAGTCGTACAGTTAGAGTGGATGGGAGGTGTTTCACTTGTACATGCAATTAGTTTATGACTTAAATAAATTGTAGCGCATGGGTCAGGTGGTAGTGTAAACATTTAACTTTATTGAATTAGGACTGAAATTTGGAGATTTGCTTCAATTATATAATGTTGTATAGTAAAGATTAAGTTGTTAGGAAATTTCAAGAAGGTAGTGATAAGTTCTATACTTCATTTGTTGCATTATGTTTAAGAATCATAAGCAGTATGTTATATTATAAGATACTTGATTAAACAGCATGGGTACTATGTAATGTTTGTCTTCATTTCCTTACACTTTTCAGAATAATCCATGTCAAAAAATGTTTCTTTTAATGTTTAAATCAAAGACTTGTAGTGTGCTGATTTAGTGTAACTGAACGTCATTCATTTAATTTATACACATGCATAGGATTATATACACATACTATAAAAGCATTTCATATACCACTTGTATTGACCTGTATCTATATTATAAAAATGTTGCGCAATTTCGTACCAACATTGTCTAAGTGCAAGTCTTGCTTTCTTACTATACTGAATGTGATTAAGGTACAACTCTTGCAGTCAATAAATAACATGATATCACCTTACAACAGGCATTTCAAAATAAAAGCATATACGTGAATAGACTTTCTCCTAAAATTAAGAATATTTTGGGTTTTTCCCAGCTAATCTGTTAGTACATAAAACTTTTACAGTTAAAGTTTCAAAAATAAGCACAACAGGTTGACTTATCTATTGTGACGGGTAGTGCTCCATGAAAGTTTGTACCTACAGATAACTTGAAAAATCCTACATTTGCCGAGTTCCGGATAGCATCTTTTGATAATTTAACCTGAATTTTACTTTTTTTCCAAGTAAAAGCATTTTAATCTTCAAATTAATTATGTTTCAATCTTCCAATGTGAAATACATACAATAATATGTATGGAAAACCTTACCCATGCTCTGACTACATGTTGAACCAATTTAAGAACGACAAGTATCTCAGTTATTTAGTTAAAACATATTTATTTTAGCTTGATTGTGAAGAAAGTTTGAAGCTTATTTGAACCACTGTCTGCTTCGTGGAATTTTCTGGTGTGATATTGTGACCCCTGTAGACTTCTAACCTGCATGCACAATCCCTTAGTTGAGAGGCAAACACCTTAACCGCTAAGCCACTGCTATCCTTATATTAGTGCACTGACAATTTGAACTGTAGATTGAATATCTGCAATTAATGATCATAGTAGACCAAATAAGGCTATATTGGTATTGGATCCTTGTTAGAATTTTTTCTTAGAGTTTTAAGGTATAAACTCTATTAATTAAAAGTAAATTTGTGTTGTTTAATAACCTTAGTTGATAGTTGAAAAACTTGTGACCTTATTTAACATAAATACTTAGTGTAGAATATGTTCTGGAACAAAATATTATGCTTCTATCTTAAGTAGGATATGTAATAGAAAGAGCATCGAAACACGAGGCTTTCTGATTTGTACGAGAGGGCGTAGCCCCGAGTATTTATCAGATTGCCGAATATGTTGATGTTCTTTCTCTTTTGTATCATAGTCAAACATAAAAACACGCTCCCTGTTGTCACAATATGAAACCCCGGCAAAAAGGAACCAATGAACGAACATCTGAATAAGATATTTCTGTCTTTTTCCCTTTCTCTGCCGTCACAATATGCAAACCCCAGCAAAAATGAACCAATCAATGGGCATACCTGCATTCCAGTTAACGCACTATGCATGTATATGTATACGATTTAACTCTGACACATTTTCAACAGAAAGGTCCCCAAACTATGATACAATAACTGTTTACCGATGATTTCGTGCATGAGCGGTTTCCTCTTCAGGAATCATACGACCATATATTTCTTTCATACATGACTGTAATTTGGAAAATTTCTAAATTCTAATTACATCTTTTGCAGCAGATATGATATAGCATTATACACTTTTACAGGTCATATGGTATCATTTGTATCCTTACTGGTAGTTTTAGGCCTCGGGGGTTTCCCTCGGTTACTGATTTCAGACAGACAACACTAAAGGCTAAATGTCATAGTCCTGGAACGTAGTTTCACACAAGGATTCAGAATGTAGATGTTTTAAAACTATTGTAATGCTTTTAGCATGATTAACAATTGCTAGCAAGGACAAACGTTTTTTACATTTAGATAGATTTGTGGTTGTAGTCGTAGCATTACTTTAAAGCATCAGCCATATTAAATGCCTTGTATTTTTAAAATCGTGAGAAATAAAGAATCCACAGGTTGAAATAAATATTCTAATTAATGGTCCGACATGATAAGTTTGGCATCAATTACCAAATATTCTATAATAAACAATCTTCCCCACATTTTTTGCATTAAACTACACAAGATAGTAAACGTCCAATTTATTTTAATGATATTTAACAAATTTTGTATTTCAATTAACAACACCTTTGGAAAATGTAAAGCTTCCGGGGCATTAATTAGAGACTATATTATGGTAAATGAGCCGCGTCATGACAAAACCAACATAGTGGGTTTGCGACCAGCATGGATCCAGACCAGCCTGCACATCCGCACAGTCTGATCAGGATCCATGCTGTTCGCTTACAAACCCTATAACAAGTAGAGAAACTGATAGCAAACAGCATGGATCCTGATCAGACTGCGCGGATGCGCAGGCTGGTCTGGATCCATGCTGGTCGCAAACCCATTATGTTGGTTTTGTCATGACGCGGCTCAAATGTATATTAAGATTATTCTTCTGGCAAGATAAAATCAAGAAATAACACATTTGTTTAAATATATTTGTCTTTTAAATGCTTTATTTTTGAAAGGTATAAAACATGAATACAAAACAATAAAATATAAATGATCAATCTTAAATAAAATATAAATCATTTATCTAAATTAAAACAACCGGCAACCTGTTGAAATGTTGAGATACCTGTATTTATCATTACATGATTATAAAAATTATCACTATTGAGAAATATAGATAAAAACTCAATGGTAACAAGTATGTATATAAAGTAATGAAAATATATTATCAACCCTTTAACCCTTTCCCCCATGAGCATATTGTGAAAAATGGCCATTTTCACTGAAAAGCCTCCTCTAACAAGTTCAAACTGCTATGAAACTATGAAAAATGCTTCAATACTAATCAAACTTGGCACAAATGTTGACTGGACCATTGCCTTTGTAACGACATGCTCAGTCTTAAATTTCCTGTTACCATGGCAACGAGGGGACATCTCAAAATTGCCAAAAATCACTTTTTTGCCTCGATTTTTTCCATCAAAATTTACTTCAAAGTGCTGCAACTTCTCAAGGGATTGAGATTGAGTCAAAGGCTTATCAGCGTTGGTTACACGTTACCTTATGATCAACCAGGGGTCATTTTAAGCCTCTCACAAGTCCAAAATTTTCTTGGCGATGAGGGGGACTCCGCCCCCCTTCAAACCCCCGAAACAGAAGGGGGCACATCCCCCTTCTGGCAACCCCCTGATGTATTATTTGGATGGGGGACGGCGCCGAAAAAATGGTCACTTTTTTTTTACAACATTTCTTAAACGAAAAACAGTGTTTGGGGTCTAAATACGACATTTTTTCACTGTTTAAGGCCTCAAAAAGGGGGGGGGGGTCAAAAAGCCGTCGAAACACGCTTATGTAAGGGAAAAGGTTAAATACAATTTTGATTCTAAATTGCAAAATATCTGTACAAATTTATGTATCATATGTAATCATTATATGATGCTTGTAAAGATACATGCTCATTAGATGGAAGAAAGGACTGGTAGGTGAGGTGCCAGCCCTTTCTTCCATCCAATGGCTTGATTTTATTCAATTCAATTGACATTTTATTCAATTCAATTGACACAGAAATTTTATTTAATTCAATTGGCACAGAAATTTTATTCAATTCAATTGGCACGGAAATTGTATCTCATTACTATAATCTGTATAACACATACAAAACACAATTTCAGATATCATAAATTGTAACAGACTGAGCTTTAAAAAAACACATTTAAAAATAATATAAATAGTGTTCACAATATTTGTTCCTTTACCTACAAAAAGATCTTCATCTGCAAATTGGCAAGTTTCAAACAAACAAAACTAAAAAACAAATATTGTAAATAAAATAAGATTTTTTTCTAAAAACTAAAACATATGAGTAAAATAATTTAGAATATAAAAATATGGTAGAAATTACCTATAACAAATTGTCAACAAGAGCTGTCATCACAAATTCATTATGTAAGAAGCCACAAAAAAATTCACAAAAGGGAATACTTGAAACAAAAACATGTGTTATATATCTTGGTCACTAATCTACATTAATACTCTTCTACAATCAAGCATATTAGTTGTGCAATGATATCTGGCTCTACATTGTTGCTGCCTTAATTATTGTATTTTGCTATTGGACTGATGGGACAAATCTATTACACTTATTAATCAGGTTAATAAGAGATTAATACACGGCAGAGTAGGGCCAGAAGGTGATAATCGGCCTGGGAAATGAATAATTGTCCTGAGGGCATTATTGTTTCAGTATGTGCATGTACTCATGTTCAGCGGGCTGATTATGATTATCAGTTATAGCCCCGGGCAGCAAACTGATAATCGGTCACGTGACACTCATAATCAGTTGAAATCATAGGCAATTTTGTTACTATATATAGTAACAAGTGTTTTAATGATTTATCTTAATATATAATATCATAAATGACAAAATACACAGGGATGGCAATGACTACCTATTTCAGTACCCAAGCACTTGGGACATTCTTATGATCAAGTACTAGGTCACTGACAGAAGATTTCATGGGACTTTGAATATATAACATTAATAATCTATAGATCTATCTATCACACCAGATCAAAGACAGTAATTTATAGTAATTACATAATTCTTGATTCACTTTTGATTTTCTTTTCTATTGTGATATACAAAATAATCTAGTACAAAGTATCTCAAGAAAAAAATATTACTTACATCTGATATCATTGAAAGTAATTTGCCCTCAAGTGGTTTACATATAAAGTACCTAGGAACACATTTCAGTAACACACTGCTAGGTATCTAAATTTTATAATTTAATATGATATAAGCAACAGACTTGTTGCTCTGCCTTGCCCTAATTAACTGTTGTTAATTTGCAGTAAAATTTTCGTACCTCTGCTTGGATGATTATTACATTAACAAGGTTAAAACAATGTTTCTATTAAGGAGATATATTTTAGAAATTCTGAATTATTTTATAATTTATTACTTTATTTACAATAGAAAAATGAATAGATGCTTTTTTGTATGGAGTACTCAACAATCAATTATGTTAACAGATACCTGGACATTCAATCTTTGGTAGTCATTGCCATCCCTTAAAGCAAACAACAGTTACACGTTATTCCTTAAATATATCACAGATATATGGTGTATAGTGGGATTTAATAATATCACATATATTTTTTCAATTTGTGTACAATGAAACATTTTCTGCATAAGTAATTTGTTTTCTCAAATGTAGTTACTTTCCCTGCCATACACGTGTTAGTTACTTACGCTACCATACATGGTAAAGGCATGGTGAATTTGCTACAATAGTGAACATGAGGTAATATAGTCAAACCTACTTTACAACAGGTATGAGCATATTGTCTGAGAAAGTTCTATGTGTCAACTCTTCTAAAATGTTTTGATCTGATATTTTAAACCATAAATAATCCTTGTTTGGAACATCATCAAACTTATCATGCAGTTCATCAGGTAACACAAACACAGGTGTAACACAAAGCCCATCATGCTCCCTGGCTGGTATCCCACAATGCTCTACAGTTAGAACACCACTGATTGGTATAATAGTGTGAAGTACAGACCCTGTTTTCTGGAATACATCCTGAAAGTAGAAATGATCTACTCATACACACAGCTATATCTCACTAAAATGCTAGCTTCTACGACAACTGGAATAATGCAAAAGTGACCATTTTCATTTTACATTAATGTGTCTTCAAGTCTCATTTAAAAAACATTTTTTTTCAAGTTTGGTTTTGTTTGTTTGTTGAATTGGGTTTTACATCACACTGACACAGTATAGGTCATATTGCGACGTTCCAGCTTTACTGATGGAAGAAGACCTCAGGTGCCCTTCTGTTCATTATTTCAGGAACGAACGGGCACCTGAGTAGAACAACCGATGTTCCGTAAGCTAGCTGGATAGCTTCCTCACATGAAAGAATCCAAAGTCCCTGTCGGGATTCAAACCCACAGTGGTGAGGGGCAAGTGGTTTTAAGTCAACAACCTTAACCACTCGGCCAGGGACGCCCTTTTCATGTTTGGTAAAGGAAAATGTATGAAATAATGTGTAAACAATGAGGCTATTTGATATCAACAAGTCAATAAAAACTCAACATTGACACGACTTCCTACTGGCACAAATTATAAAATAGTTTAACAGTCCTATAACAATTTTCCTGTTTTACTTAAAACAGATTCACAATGAGGTCCCTGTACATTACTAAAGGCAAGCAAAACATTCTGTCGGGAAGAAACATCAGAATCAAGGGCATCACTTTTATTTTAGATTAACTTCCAATACAACATTCTAAATACATAATCACTTTTATGTGGATTACTGATGACTACTATGCCACCTATGAGAATACTGTTTTTAAAGCTCCAGTGTGAGCTCACTTAATGAAATAAAATTTCATCTTACACAAGAACAAACAAATATCCTCTATAATTATCTTAGGTAATTTGCTGTTTGATAAAAAACCTTACCCTGAAAACAAACAAACAAATATCCTCTATATCTTAGTTAATTTGCTGTATGATACAAAAAACCTTACCCTGAACACAGTGGTGATTGCAGCAGACAGACTGAACTGGTACTTGTGCAGTTTAACACATGGTAATCTTGTCTTCCCATCATCTGTCCGACATAAAACTTCCAAACTTCTAAAATCATAAAATACACAAATATTCCATATTTATTTAACTTTTTTATCATTTCATTTCAAAGATGATGGACTACACTTCCATATCATTTCAATTATGGTAATAGAAACAAGAGTGCCATGATGGCCCTGAGTCGCTCACCATAAACAACTGCTTTTCAGTGTTGGAATGTCAATATATTCTAATATTAAATTTAAGCATAGAATATGTTTAAACAATAATTTGAAGAAATGCCATGACCTGGGGTATTAAAAGCTTCAGCTTAAACCAAGCTTATCACATTAATATGAACAAACTTGATAAAAGATTACCTGAGAATGCTACAAAGTTTGGTGATCATCTATCAATTATTTCAGTAGGAAATCAAATGATGTTCAAAGGTTTTTTCTATTTTAAGCTTAAGTGGCCCCTAAAAAGGGCTAATCAAATCAATATAAGCAAACTTAATAAAAGAGTACCCAAGAATGCTACAGACAAAGTTTGGTGATCATCCATCAATTGGTTCTAAAGTAGAAGATGTTTAAAGGTTTTTCTATTTTTAGCTTTAGCGGCCCCTAAAAGGGGCCAATCAAATTAATATGAGCAAACTTGATAAAAGATTACCCAAAAATGCTACAGACAAAGTTTGGTGATCATCCATTAATTAGTTCTGTAGGAGAAGATGTTTAAACGTATTTCTATTTTTAGCGGCCCCTAAAAGGGGCTTATCAAATTAATATGAGCAAACTTTATAAAAGACTTCCCAATAATGCTACAGACAAAGTTTGGTGATCATCCATCAATTAGTTCTGTAGCAATAGACATTTAAATGTATAGCTAGTTTTACTCTATGCCAATGATACAGTGATTATATCCAATTCAAAAATTGATTTCCAGAATACACTACTACACTTTAATCAATTCTGCGAACAATGGCATTTAAATATTAACACAAACAAAACAAAGTGTAGTGGTATTCGGCGCAAGAAATGTAAGAAATTTCCAATTTCATATAGGCGAATCAAATTTAGAAATAACGGAAAAATATTTATACCTCGGAATAACTTTCTCTAGTAATGGTTCTTTTTTACAAGCTCGTAAACACATCGTCCAACAAGCAAACAAGAGGGCCATGATGGCCCTGAGGTCGCTCACCTGTATATAGGCCCCCCCCCCAACTGCAGGGCCAATTTAACCCAATGGCTTTTATTTGCACAAACTTGGTAGACACCCATAAGAAGATGTTTCATGCTAGACATCTAAGCTTTAGCTCATTGGGCTTTTTAAAAGAAGATTTTTTTAAATTTTAACTATACACATATAGTTAAAAACAATGACACCCCTGGGGCCGGGCCAGTTTTGACCCCAGGGCTTTTATTTGAACAAACTTTGTAGACACTTACTAGAAGATGTTTCATGCTTAATATCTAAACTCTAGCTATTTGGGTTTTTTCAAAGAAGATTTTAAGTTTTTGCTATACACATATAAAGAAAATCAATGACCCCCTGGGGCGGGGCCAATTTTGACCCCAGGTCTTTTATTTGAACAAACTTTATAGACACTCACAAAAAGATGTTTCATGCTGAATATCTTAACTCTAGCTATTTGGTTTTTTTCAAAGAAGATTTTTTAAGTTTTTGCTATACACATATAAGGAAAATCAATGACCCCCGGGGCGGGGCCAATTTTGACCCCAGGGCTTTTATTTGAACAAACTTGGTAGACACCTATTAGAACATGTTTGATGCTAAATATCTTAGCCATAGCTCTTTGATTTCTTTAAAAGAAGATTTTTTAAGTTTTTACTATATGCATATATGGAAAATCAATGACCCCCCGGGGCGGGGCCAATTTTGACCCCAGGGCTTTTATTTGAACAAACTTGGTAGACACTTATTAGAACATGTTTCGTGCTAAATATCTTATCTCTAACTCTTTTGGTTCTTTAAAAGAAGATTTTTAAAGTTTTTACTATATGCATATAGGGAAAATCAATGACCCCCTGGGGCGGGGACAATTTTGACCCCAGGGCTTTTATTTGAACAAACTTGGTAGACACCTATTAGAACATGTTTGATGCTAAATATCTTAGCCATAGCTCTTTGAGATCTTTAAAAGAAGATTTTTTAAGTTTTTACTATATGCATATAGGGAATCAATGACCCCCCGGGGCGGGGCCAATTTTGACCCCAGGGCTTTTATTTGAACAAACTTGGTAGACACCCATTAGAACATGTTTCATGCTAAATATCTTAGCTCTAGCTCTTTGGGTTCTTTAAAAAAATTTTTTTAAAGTTTTTACTATATGCATATAGGGAAAATCAATGACCCCCCGGGGCGGGGCCAATTTTGACCCCAGGGCTTTTATTTGAACAAACTTGGTAGACACCTATTAGAACATGTTTCATGCTAAATATCTTAGCCATAGCTCTTTGAGTTCTTTAAAAGAAGATTTTTTAAGTTTTTACTATATGCATATACGGAAAATCAATGACCCCCCGGGGCGGGGCCAATTTTGACCCCAGGGCTTTTATTTGAACAAACTTGGTAGACACCCATTAGAACATGTTTCATGCTAAATATCTTAGCTCTAGCTCTTTGGGTTCTTTAAAAGAAGATTTTTTAAGTTTTTACTATATGCATATAGGGAAAATCAATGACCCCCTGGGGCGGGGCCAATTTTGACCCCAGGGCTTTTACTTGAACAAACTTGGTAGACACTCACTAGAAGATGTTTCATGCCAAATATCTAAGCTCTAGCTCTTATGGTTTTTTAAAAGAAGATATTTAAAGTTTTTTCTTACGGTTGCCATGGCAACCAGAGTTCTGCATGGAATTAAATTCTTTGAACAATTTTTAAAGGTGACCACCAAAGGAACATTCCTGTGAAGTTTGGATGAAATAGGCTAAGTGGTTTATGAGGAGATGTCATTTAAAGTAAAAGTTTACGGACGGACGACGGACGGACGGACGGACGCCGGACGAAAAGCGATCACAAAAGCTCACCCTGTCACTTTGTGACAGGTGAGCTAAAAAGGGCCTTTACCTTCTCTTAACAAAGGTAAATAATTCAAGTTTACCATTTGATTTAATTCTTAAGCTTTTTGACCATACTGTTCTCCCAATTCTTATGTATGGATCAGAAATTTTTGGCTATGAATCTTTAGAAATTATTGAAAAAGTTCAGTGCGAGTTCCTTAGAAAAATTACTAGTGCTCGAAAATCAACACCTCAATATATGTTATTCGGCTAGACTGGAGTAATACCGATATCAATTATGATTAAAAATAGGATGATTTTGTTCTGGAATAGGTTAGTTACTGGGAAAGTCTCAAAGTTATCTCACAAAATTTATCAATATATGCTTAAACAACCAGAAAAGAATTTTAAATGGCTGAGACATATTGAAACTATACTTAAATCTAGTGGTAGAGCAGATGTGTGGTTACTTCAACCTGCCCTAAATACCCCAAACTTAGAACACACAACTCCAGTCATCTAATAAGGGTAGAACTTGTGCAGTCTACAAAGAAACTCATAGTATTGAAAAATATGTAATACATTTACCAAAGTATGAACGCGAAATAATGTTTAAATTTCGTAAAAATAAAACACTTTTTCCAGAAATGGGATGCTGGGACAGGACGTCTCCAGAAAATAGGCGATGCGTACTTTGTTCAGAAAACGCTATTGGCAATAGCAAACACAATATATTACGTTGCGAAAAATTTCAAAGAACAAAGACAAAACATTTTACAAACTTTCTGCCTTGAAAATAATGATCTTAACTTTAAACGAATTGTCAATATACAGTCGGAAAATAACTTTAAAATACTCTGTAAATTCTTATCAATATTGCTCAAGCATGTGCTTTAGGTGAGTTCCGCAGACATTAAAAGTATAGCCATTGAAAAACATAAATTTATCTGTTATTATTGTATTAATGTTGTAAAAATGATCGTATTGAATGTGTCATTTGATATGCATGTCTTGAAATACGCTAGATAAGTCCCGCCGTGAGTACGTCGATCTTGCATAATCAATCTTGTTAAAGCATTTCAAATTTGAAAATTAAAGAATTTCGAAGAGGTCCCGTACCCCCGACGGCACTTATGCATTATAAAATTACTCATTACTGAATTACACATTACATTATATTAACTATTACTGGGTAAACAGTACCGTATTGCGTAAATCCTAATAAATCCGGTGAATATTTATTCCAATTGCTTTATTTTTTTTTATATTTATTGAATTGACCAGGTTACACATGTGTTGTCTGAACCGAATTACTGCGCGACAAGAACAATTTGCCAGAAGCATTCATTCACACAAAAAAAACAACCCCGTCGTAGTAAATAAAATTACTAGAGCGTGCAATAAGGCATTGTGTACTTCCCAGTATTTATGTTATATAAGATGCTAATATATCCTCACTTGAACCCCCATTTCTTTCTTTGAAACATTAAAAATGTATATTATTTATTATATTTCTGTTTAAAAATAATTAAATGACTATTAATACTGTATTATCTTTTCAGGACTTTACAACCGGAACATATATATATATTGTAAAATATTACTTTGTAAACCCCTTATGTATTTTATTAATACCTGGGTGAATAAAGATATTTGAATTGAATTGAATTTAATTTAAGCGGCCCCTTAAAAGGGCCACTCAAAATAATATTAGCAAATTTGATAAAAGACTACTTAACAATGCTTCAGACAAAGTTTGGTGATCATCCAGCCATTAGTTCTGTAGAAATAGACATTTAAAGGAATTTCTATCTTTAGCTTAAGTGGTCCCTAAAAGGGGCCAATCATATTCATATGAGCAAACTTAATAAAAGAGTACCCAAGAATGCTACAGACAAAGTTTGGTGATCATCCATCAATTAGTTCTCTAGAAATAGACATTTAACGGTATTTCTATTTTTAGCTATAGAGACCCCTAAAAGGGGCCAATCAAATTAATATGAGCAAACTTGATAAATGACTACCTAAGAATACTACAGACAAAATTTGGTGATCTTCCATCAATTAGTTCTGTAGAAATAGACATTTAAAGGTATTTCTATTTTTAGCTTTTGTGGCCCCTAAAAGGGGCCAATCAAATTCATATGAGCAAACTTGATAAAACACTACCCGAGAATGCTACCGACAAAGTTTGGTGATCATCCATCAATTAGTTCTGTAGGAGAAGATGTTTAAAGGTTTTTCTATTTTTAGCCCTAGAGACCCCTAAAAGAGGCCAATCAAATTCTTATGAGCAAACTTGATAAAAGACTACCCAAGAATGCTACAGACAAAGTTTGGTGATCATCCATCCATTAGTTTTGTAAAAGAAGATGTTTAAAGGTTTTTCTATTTTTAGCTCTGCTGACCCCTAAAAGGGGCCAATAGGAATGACATGAGCAAATTCAAGTGTGACTGTCACAAGGATGCTACAGACCAAATTTGAAGTAAATCTGCTTAGTAGTTTCAGAGAAGAAGACGATTGTTGACGCATGACGACGGACGCCGGAGCATCCCCCTTTGATACTAATAGCTCACCCTGAGCCTTCCGCTCTGGTTAGCTAATAAATAAATATGCAAGAGATAATGGCCGATTTAAAAATATATTTATCACTCCGTCAGTATGCAACTTTAAAGGGAAGTAAAAAATTAACAGTAAAATAAAACATCCCCATGGTCATGGTTCTTTAGTTCTGCAAAAATATCACAACTGTATATAACTCTTAAACATCTGAATATGAACGACTGAAGCACGTTTTTACAGGTAATACTTACCCCTGAGTTTGTTTTAGAAGCACTGGTCTACAGAGCAAATATGAATGAGGTTGAATGCCTATTTGGTAATGTGGATGTCTACTGGTAGCAGGTAATGATATATATTTCTGTGCCAACTTTAATGACTTAAAGAAATCACTATGTCTGAAAAAAGATGCAAAAATATACAATATATAAATAAAAGCCTGTTTTGCTATATACATGTATATGTTTTGTTACAACATTATATTTGAGCAGATTAGGTAAGCAGTTCTATAACCTCAAATAATTTGACTGCACACAGAGTATCAGTCTCACAAAACTATAGTTCTATTTTTAAATTGACTCTGACAGGCAATTTGAATAATGTGTCATGCAATAATTTTTCTTAACAAATTTGCTTATATTCTTCCAAGTCCTCCAACACTATAGCAAAATATTCATGTGATGTGGGAGACAGACCAATTCTTAAAATCTCGTTAAGTACTGATGCAAAATCCTTTTATATACTTGCAAAATACAAATTCAATACTTTTTGATTTTGTGCTTAATGCAAACTGTTGTGAAAATAGTCAAACTTTTGTAAACTGTATTATACATCAAGTAATCTGAAAGAGCTAAACATACATATTGTCCACAGAAATTGCACATAATTTTTATAGTTGTAGAAACTAGGCCATACTCTGTTTGGATTAGGGTATAAATATAGCAACATCAACAGTTAATTCAGTGCTACATTGCCGTAACATATAAAATGTCACAGACTCAGTATTTATACATTTATTTAACTCTTGCAATGTCTTTTATCAGTTTATTTTTTTGACAATTAGTTTACAAATGTGGTGTTGTGCAGCTTTAAATTGCAAAACTTCTTTCAATAGGCCCACATTGAGTCTAACTTGATCAATAACCAAGCAAATTTTAACATATATCCTGCTTTCAAAAATAAATTCTACCCACGCAACCACTAGTCTACCTTCTGATCATTGCCTACATTGTACACTATTAAGTCAAAACATATTTTGAATTTCCCTTTAAAAGATAAATGGTTTTGTCCAGATTAAAAAATAGATATTTAAGTCCTTTTTAGAAACTTAACATGGTACATATAACAAACTCATAGATTTCCTCTTACCTTAATTCAACACAGCCATTCAGTATTTCTTCAACAGTAAACCATTTAGCCTGCAGAGATTCTGTATCTTGTTCTTCTAAAGTTTTCAACTTTCCTCCTGAAACAACAAAATACATTGCATTAAAAGCATTTAAACATCAAGGAGATTAAGTGATACCATTAAATAAGGTAATGGTTGTATATACCATACATGTTGTATTTATTTAATGATATTTGCCTTGGTTTGAATTAATAAACAGTCCATTCAAAGTTAAAAAGGATTTCAATGTAAAAACCAACAACAAAAAATGAGCTGCCAACACTGTACAGCCCGGTTACACAATATTGGTGACAATGGCAAATAAAATTTTGTTTCACCAGGTTAAAGGTTATATATGAGAATACCTTAATGCTTACTACATCAGGAAAATTCATGAAAGTTCTAAACAAACCAATCATGACAGTACAACTGATAATGAAATTGTAAATTGACCATGGCAGTTGTTCATCTGATAATGAAATAATAAATTGACCATCACATTAAAACTGATACTGAAATTATAAACTGAACATGGCAATGTAAAAACCAACAACAAAAAATGAGCTGCCAACACTGTACAGCCCGGTTACACAATATTGGTGACAATGGCAAATAAAATTTTGTTTCACCAGGTTAAAGGTTATATATGAGAATACCTTAATGCTTACTACATCAGGAAAATTCATGAAAGTTCTAAACAAACCAATCATGACAGTACAACTGATAATGAAATTGTAAATTAACGATGGCTTTTGTTCGTCTGATAATGAAATTATAAATTATTCATGGCAGTACATTTAATACTGAAATTTTAAGCTGACCATGGCAGTTCACTTGATAATGAAATTATAAATTAACCATGGCAGTACAACTGATAATGAAATTATAAATTTACCATGGCAGTACAACTGATAATGAAATTATAAATTAACCATGGCAGTACAACTGATAATGAAATTATAAATTAACCATGGCAATACAACTGATAATGAAATTATAAATTAACCATGGCAGTACAACTGATAATGAAATTATAAATTGACCATGGCAGTTCACCTGATAATGAAATTATAAATTAACCATGGCAGTACAACTGAAATTATAAACTGACTATGGTAGGTAACCTGATAACGACCTTAGAATGTGCTAAATTAATTTCCAGTCAATTGTAAAAACCATTTCCCTATAGCTCATCAATTATTAACAATCTTCATGTATAAAGCCCAATGATCTGAATAAAATAAACATATAACTTCACCTTCAATTAATCATGTTCAACAAAGATGTGTAACTAAATGCCTTACAAGGTGCTTAGCCAAAAAGAACAAAAACAACAGGCGTTTGATAATCTAGATGGATTAGCATGAAAAACTATTGAAGCTTTCAGATTTTTGTTCTGTATTCTAGATGGTTTGATATAATCCTCTGTTAACAAAACTTTAAATACATTTAACATGTCATGTCAAGAAAAGATATATAAAGAAATGATCTTAATGCCATTGATTTATCATGGTCATTGACTCCACCTTTCATCAGATTCTTCGCAAAGAAATTATTTTTGTTATTGTTTAACATGAAAAACTCTCAAGCTAGAATTTTCAACTACGAAAATAATCAGAAAAATACACAATTTTTTATATTATGCTTCCTGATAATAATTAAAGTCGCTTAATGTGTTTATATTTTTTTTATGTTAAAAGTATATTGTCGGTGGACATCAAGTACAAAATGTTTAGTTCTTATGAACACCCCATTTACTCGTGCTTTGCATATTTTGATATGGCTGCTGCCCATAACAATTATAACATAAGATTACATGCTTTACCAAAAATAGAGAAAAAACAACAACAACTGTTTTCCAATAGCTATTCATAATTGTGGGTAAGATTTTATTGATTTTTAACATGGCTATAAGTATGCATGGTGTCACATTATGCCACCAAATAATTAGTGCATTACAGCTTAGTAGCAATTAATTGGGAATCCTAAGGTATTTTCCGACAGTTTTGTAAATTGATAAGTGAAACACAAGATTTTTGTGATTGTTTTCTTTTGTCACAATATGTTTGGCTATCATTTTTGTATTTTATGTTATTCACCAACATTTAATATGTGAAGAGGCTTTAACATTTGTTACTCTAGTGTTAGCAAACACAAAGCGAAACACAGCAATGAAAACTAGTCTATAAGAAGAGCAGTATTAACATGTATTACTTAAAGTAAAGTTCACAGTGTATTACATACATAAATACAACAAACAGTAGCAGAAGTGAAAGCAACACTTAATAGAAGTAACACTCATTAGAACCAAATGCAAACCTCATTAAATAGCATAATATGTTAACAATTAACTTCTTCTATTAAAAATATTTGATTTAACAATATCCTTAACAGCTGCAAGTTTACTAAATGAATGTATCAGTTTTGTTTAGAAAACCCCATTTTGTTTGTTTATGTGAACATTTTTTCTGCTTTAAGTACACAACTATTTTATTATATCACAGAGAAAGTATTGCCTATAGAAGGAAAGTATTTTGCAACATCACATGTTTAAGTAAGTTGGCTAACAAAGATTAATAAGTAAGTTTGATACATAACAGTTAGTTTACTATCACTGATAACTTCCATCTTTATATATACATGTAGGTACTGTTTAGTTTTAGGACCTACCAGTTACATTTCCCACATAAATCATGCGATAAAAGTCCACATTGGCAAACATTTCAACACTGAACAAAGTTAAAGGATTGATAATAAGCCCGGCCTCTTCTCTCACCTCACGGTGACAAGCATCCTGAATGTTAAAGTGAAAGACAGTATAACAATGATATAACATCCTGACGTACCAGTTACTCTTCCTATATACCCAATCCGATACCAATACAGTCCATTAGATTCAATAGAAAACACAGTCTCAGGTTCTATTTCTAGACCAGCTTCTTCCAGACATTCTCGTTTAGCACCATCCTACACACAAAATATTGTTGAAGCATTAATCTACATAATACATTACTACAGTGAATACTCCCAAGATAGTACATAATGTTTATCAATATTATAATTTACTTAGGAAACAGATACTAATTTAGCAAGATACTGTATACTGCATGTTTCAGCTTCAAAAGTGCAGAAATACAAAAGTGCAGCACTATAAACATGATATCTGGTAGCTCAGTGATAAACAACAACATTTCAACGATAAATCATGCCTTATTGTACAACTTTGTACAAAAAAAATGATATCTATTTCCAATCTAATGTGCTAAAAGGAAGAGAATCAATAATATAATCTTGAAAAATAAAAAAAATATACTGAAATACATTGAGCAAGGAAGGAAATTTCTTGATGTCATTTGTTTTATAGATTTCATATGACATGTAAACCCTTACTCTCTGGATCATTGTGTAATAAAAAAACAGTGTGAGGCATGTTAGAATAAAAAACAAACCCTTCATTATTAGATACTGTATGTGTAGAAATATTCGCGGGCTTCAAATTTTTCGCGATCTTCGCGATGACATTCGATCCCCGAATTCATGTTCAGCGCGAATAATTCTACACCAATAATTTGTTAGTAGCATATTTTCGCGCATATTTAGAACAATGTATTTAAGTGTGTTCACGGCTGCCATAAGTCTGGTATCCGTCGCGCTTTCAAAGAGTAATTTTACTGTTGTATAATGTGTACATGTATTATTTAGCACTGTATATAAATTAGTTTGCTGGTGTATTATTGTTTGTCTGATATGATTATCAGATTCTTGTATAACTGTATGCATGTTTGAACAATACAATTGCATCACGCTATTTATTTCATAATCTGAGTCATAAACGTCTTGACATCTGATCGGATTATATTTTGTTTTTCTAAACATACAATTCAAACAACACAAACATTATAGACTTTAACTGTTGAAAACATGGAAAACAAAACACAATTACTCAGTCAACATTTTGACAAAATCTGTGAAAAGATTATGATCTCATTCAGTGCTGTTTAAAACTGTGAAAAACCACGCACGTTAATGGACTTTCTTTTGTTTGCCATAATCTGTCCGCTAGATAATTTGAATGTCTTTGTTCTGTACAATAGCGTATTATTTGACAACAGGTGTTGAAAATACCTATGAAGTTCCACAACGATTACAGTAAAAAGTATGTAAAAAAGAAGGCTGCTTGCGAAAACCATTGCCTAATCGTGTAAGAATAATTTCCCTTATTTTTTAAACTGATGTGTGTACGCGAATTTATGATTTTCGGCAGTCACCTCCGCGAATTCAAAATAGCGCGAATATTTGTATATACCCCCAAAATGGACCTTTCCGCGAAAATTTGCTTCCGCGAATTTAAATACACATACAGTAATAACTCATATATACTGATCCTGGGAGAATTCACATATGAGCCGTGCCAAGACAAAACCAACATAGTGCGTTTGCGACCAGCATGGATCCAGACCAGCCTGCATGTGCATCTGCGCAGCCTGATCAGGATCCATGCTGTTCGCTATCAGTTTCTCTGCTTGTAATAGGGTTGGTAAGCGAACAGCATGGATCCTGATCAGACTGCGTGGATGCGCAGGCTGGTCTGGATCCATGCTGGTCGCAAACCCATTATGTTGGTTTTGTCATGGTACGGCTCATTTATCTAGCATACTATCCAAATCTAAATGACCTGATAGCGAGAAAAGACAACCTTCTAATAAAAAAAAAGTTTCTTCTACAATAAATCGCAAACAACATGGGAGTAGGTTTAGATATCTGTAATAAATACTGAAAAACAGTTCAAATTATATGAGCAGGTACAAGTTTTTAATACTAATGAAACATTGTTTTTTCAGGAAAATTCCTTTAAAATAAAAGAAATTCCACTGCAAAATCATAAATGTTAATTGTCAGGAAAGTTTTAGTCTATCAGAACATTTAGATTTGGGCAGTCACACAAAGCACAAAACTCAAAGTACTTGTTCATTACATACACGATGATTACCTTTCATTCTGCCAACAAAGTTAAATCTGAACCATTTTCTTTTCAGTTGGCATTTGAAACACAGCAGGGACAAAGGTTCAAACTCCAGTCCGGCCTCTTCCAAAACTTCTCGCTTAACTGCATCCTTTCCAGTAAGGTAGAACAAAAAAATCACACACATAGAATTACAATATCTACAGAGGGAACTGTACATATTACATAATTATTTGCAAATTTTATGGCACTTACACTCTATGGTGATATAAATACTGCAAAATCAGTCATTTTTTGCATGTAACATGTAAACCATTACTTGAATCTGGAATCTTTCTACATACATTTTTCTCAAGTTTGATTTTCTTGAAATATTTTGGGTAATTTGGAGGCATGCAGCTGTAAGTTTTGGTAACTGTGGAAAATTTGTTGGTTTACTATAACAAGTAACTTACTATGAAGTTTTCTCCTGGTTCAACCCGTCCGGCTGGTATATACCACAATCCTTTACAACTTGGCTTCGCTTCCTGTATCAATACCACACGTCCAGCATCATCAAACACTAATGCCATCACAATATAGCAGACTGTACGCTTAACAACTGGTTTAAAGTCTTCAACTAAACAAAACATTGGAACTTTTAATTAAGACATGATTTTATATTCTTTTTAAAAAGTACCTCTATATAAACTCTTTGTTGATATTAAGAGTTTTTTTATTATCAAAGAGATGGCATTTAAATATAAAAACTTTTTTCTCAGCGCTAGAAAAGCAATAAAAACAAAATATAAAAGGGGTATAACTCTGCAAAAATGCTAAACGTTTAAAGTTAAAACCTAAATGTTTTTTGAGAAACAATAAATAAGCATCCGCAGGATATTAGGACTTCGAACTGTCAACATGTGTTTTAATCTGCTCTTGGATTTATCTTTATTTAAGCAATAAAACATTGCAATTCTCTGGAGATTTTTGGATATTATTGAACCTCATAAATCTCTGGATATTGATTTTGAAATGAAAAAGTGATTTGACTAGCAATTAAGCAAAAAACTGGTGAAAACTAATCATAAATTTGTATAAAATCTGGAAATATGTATAATTTTTTACCAAAGGATTAATACTTATCACTTACAAATATTTGCTGTAAAAACAGGTATAATAGTTATATAGTGCTAAAATACATCAGGTATTTATAAACCTTTGTGACAACAATAGCTGACTAAAAGGTGATAATGGATCAAACAATGGATTTAAATATTTCTAATTTTGAAGGCTTTTCTTTCAATGAAGTGTTAACAGACTGTCTGGAGATAGCAGAAAGCCAATATTTCTCTGTAAAAACAAGTGCTTGTGGAAACAATGTTACAATAACATTCTTTAAGAAAGAAATAAGTGACAGAATTAGAGAAATACTACAACAACAATATACACTTGTTCCCAACATTGATAACACAGGCATTTCTATAACAACAGAACTGTCATCCTTCAAAGTGGTGATCACATGGTATTATAACAAAACAACCCTACTTATTCAGGGCAGTGGCAGTATATTGTGGACAAATACAATATTCAAATCTCTTGCCTCTCACATTGACAGTTTTCCAGAAAGTCCTCCTGACACTCTCCTAGATGAACTGGACTCATCTGGGCTGACCTCAGTAGCTGAGTCTCCAGTTCAGATTTCAACACCTGCTGCCCCAAAAATCAAAGGTCAGAAATCTACACCAAGAGGGTTTAAACACTTACTCTCAGACCTAATTTTTGGCCCTCCTGAATTAAATGCTCTTGTAAAATTAGCAGAAGAAAAGAAAAAAGCAGAAAAGATTCAAAAGAGGGGTGGACCTAAAGTAGATCTTGAAGAACTTGAAAGACAACGATCTATTATAGCAGAAACAGGGAAGAAACCAAAACAGAAACTTCACAAAATGCAACAAAAGAAACAAGCAGTGAATTCTTTCATCAGAACTGCAAATGGGTACGCTCATCCACCAATATCATTTGGGGATACAAAATGTGAATCTGAAGAAACTTCACCTAAATCCTTGGATACTGAGTCAGAGCAGAGCTTTAAGCTGGCTAATCCTGTTCTTTCTATCATAGACAAATCAAACTCGGAAACCTCAGTGCCCGTCTCTACTGACACTACAGATCATATATCCTTTAATAATAACAGTGAAATTATCAATATGGATAGTGTTCCCCAGATTGACTGTGTAAATTTTTATGAGACCCCTAAAATGTATGAAAATCAAAACAATATTCAGCAATTTCAAAAGTTGAAAAAAGATAATGAAACACTGCAAAATGAAAACGACAACCTTCAACATAAATATGCTAGTCTTTCAATAAAGCATGCTAGTCAAGATCAGCAAATTGCATCCTTGCAAAACGAAGCTGAATTTCAGAGAAAGACTATTTCAGATTACCAATCAAAGACCTCAGACTTAAATGCTGAAATTCAAATCCTAACCGCTGAAATTGAAACCATGAAAAAATCAAACAATTCATTAAAACAAGAAAATAAGTCTCTGAAAGGAAAGATATCATCAAAACAAAATGATACATTTACCAGTGAAATCATTCAAAATGACATAGAGGAACTTAAGAATACAATGTCAGAGTTTACAATGACAATCGACTCTTTAAAGAACAGAACAGAGAATCTTGCTTCTAGCACTGACATATATCTCCTTCAAGCAGAGATAAGAAATTACAAGAAAATAGTAACTGAAAACATGGAATTAAAACAGATGCATACAAGCGTTGATGCCCAAATTTCTTCTCAAGTGGATAACATGGCTGAAAACGCCCTCAGTCGCACCAACAGAAAAATCTGAAATATTAGACAAAAACAATGGATCAAAACATTCAACAGAAAAAAACAAAGGAAACCTCGGGTCAAAAGAAACATGAGGTTCTGATTCTTGGTGATTCTGTGACAAAAGTGCTAAAGCCGAAAAAATGAGTGGAAGTAAAATAAATACAAAAATCCGATCACCCAGGTGCAAAGATCTGTGACATAACCAATAAAATTGTGAGTTCAGATGACAAAAGGATTCTGAAGGAGTGTGACGTTTTTGTCATACATGCAGGGATAAATAACATCTCAGACGGGGATAACGAAAATCTTATAACTGATGAACTAAATGATCTAACAAATCAGCTCCTAAAAGAAAATAGCGATGCTAAGGTGATAGTCTGCTCAGTGCTGCCAAAATGCAGAGATAATCTTGCAACAAAGATCATAGACACAAAAGTGAATACATCCATTAAGAATCTTTGTAAGCGTAAAGATCTCACATTTCTTGATAATACATCTGCTGTTATGTATCAAGGGACAGTTAATGATCAGTTGTATCAAGATGCTGTACACCTTACTAAAGGACGGGGAGCAGCAATCTTAGGTAAACAGATCAAAAGGGCCATATACTCGGCACTTGCCCTACCATATGAAAGTTCTGAGGATGTAAATTTTCCCAGGACAGCTCAACAACCGAAACATCCTCCACAATACTCTCAATGCCAGCAAATGCAACAGAGGTTCCAAAGACCCCAGAGAACCAAAAATCAACTCAGGGAAAGAGCTCTCCAGAATCATTTCAGCACACATCAACAGGAAACCTATTTCTCTCACTACAACTCATATCCCCCATCCTCAAAAACGTATGAATTCCCATTCTCATCTACAGGACAATTCCCAGTTTTTTCAAAAGCTTCAATACCCATCTTCAACAGAAGAATCCCATTCAAGTACATCCCCACCATCACAGGTAAATACCAGTCCCCAACAAGTAAATCCCCATCCCCAACTGGTCAATCCCCCATCAGCAACAGGTCACAATCACCATCCCAAACAGTTAACTCCCCATCAGCAACAGGTCAATCCCAATCCCCAACAAGTAATTCCCCATCAGCAACAGGTCAATCCCAATCCCAACAGGAAACTCCCCACAGCAACAGGTAAATCCCAATCCCCACCAGGCAACTCCCCATCAGCAACAAGTTCAATCCCCATCCCCAACAGGTAGCCCCCAATCAGCAACAGGTCAATCCCATCCCCAACAGGTCGCTCCCCATCAGCAACAGGTCAATCCCCATCCCCAACTGGTAACTCCCCATCAGCAACAGGTCAATCCCCATCCCCAACAGGTAACTTCCCATCCTCAACATATCAATTCTCATTCCCCACAGTTCAAAATCCAACAGGACAATCCCCATCATCAGCATGTCAATCCTTATCTGCAACAAGTCAGTCCCCATCATCAAAATGTCAATCCCCAATCACAACAGGTAAATCCACAAAAGACCAATTCTTATCCTCAGCAGATCAATTCTTATCATCAACAGGACAATCATCTTTCTCATGGATCTCCTGGAGTAGATCCTTATCCCTACAATGTCAATTCCCACCATCAACAGGTCAATCACCATCATCAACAGGTCAATCCATTTCATTACATGGAAGTACACCAACCAACTCAGTTTCAACAGAGCAAATCTTATCCTCAGATGATGCAGCAACAATCGATAACAACAAATCCGTCATATTAAATAGTGAAGATTGTAACAGTGATATCCTAAAAAAATTAAGTGAATTACGACAAAAAGATCTCAAACGTCCTTTGATAGCACATTTAAATATCAACAGTCTTAAATCAAAATACTTAGAAGTGCATGAAATTTTGAAGAGAAAATTAGTGGATATATTTATCTTATCTGAAACTAAGCTGGATGATAGTTTTAATAGCAACATTTTCCATTATAATGGATACAAAATTGATCGCCGGGATCGCAATAAATTTGGAGGGGGAATTCTTGTTTATTCACGTGATGATTTGCCATTCCGGAGAAAGAAAGACCTGGAGCCAGAAAATTTTGAATGCATGTGTTTTGAACTATCTTTAAATAAAAGAAAGTGGTGTATCCTGGCTCTTTACAAACCTCCTAATATCAAAAATGTGGATTTTACTAACACCTGCACTAATGTTCTTGATAGAACTTTAAGACAATATGATAACATCCTGCTTCTTGGTGATCTGAACTTTGACATGAACAGGCTTGAAAAATCATCCACCCTTCGCGATATTTGTGATACATATAACCTTGAAAATGTTGTAAAAGGAAACACATGCTTTATGAAAAATGCAAGTCCCTCGGCAATTGATGTTATTTTAACTAACAGATCAAAATTTTATTTGTAACACAGAAAATTTAGATGTTGGTATCAGTGACTGTCACAATCTAGTAGCTACTACAATAAAAGAGCAGTGTTGTCAAACAAAACCAAAATATGTTAAATTTAGATCATACAAACATTTTAATGAGTCTGTTTTCAACACTGAACTTAGCAAAATTCCATTCCATATTGCAGATATTTTTGATGATATTGATGATTCATACTGGGCTTTTGAAACACTTTTCAAAGAAGTTGTAGATGAACATGCTCCAATTAAAGAACGCAAATTAAGATCACAAAAAGTTCCTTTCATGAATGGCGAATTGAGAAAATCTATCTATAAAAAACAGCAACTAAGAAATTGCTATTTCAAAAACCGTAATAACAAAAACTGGGAAAAATTCCGCAAACAAAGAAATTTGGTCACAAAACTAAAAAGAGAGTCAATGGAAAAATATTTCTTTGAAAGGTGTAATGAAGGTCCAAAATCTAGCCACTTTTGGCCAACAATTAAACCGTTTTTGACATCAAAATCTACAGCAAAATCTGACAGCAAAATTATTCTTAATGAAAATGAGACCCTAATATCAGACCAAAAGGAAATAAGTAATATTCTGAATGATTTTTATGTGAATATTGCTTGTGATATTGGTATAAAAACTGATGCTGATATTGATGAAACACATCCTAGCATAACACAAATATCTAAAAATCATTCATCAATAGATACTTTTCAATTTGCTCCAGTGAGCACTGATCAAACTTTTAAATTATTGAAAAGTTTAAATTCAAAAAAGGCCATTGGTGTGGACAGCCTACCACCAAAGATAATTAAAGCAGGTGCGTATGCCCTGACAAATCCTATAACTTCGCTTATTAATAAAAGCTTTCAAACCTCTCAATTTCCACAAGCTTTAAAACTAGCACAAGTTAAACCTCTGTTCAAAAAGGATGATCCTTTCCAAAAGAAAAATTACAGGCCTGTCAGCATCTTACCTACCATTTCAAAAAATTTTGAAAAATCTATTAGTGCTCAACTTAACTTACATTTTGAAAACATTTTTCATGACTTTCTATCAGCATTCCGTAGAATTTTGGCTGTCAGACAACATTACTGCGCCTCATTGAAGATTGGAAGAGAGCATTAGATAGAAATGAATATGTAGCTGCCATACTCATGGATCTGTCTAAGGCTTTTGACTGTCTTCCGCATGACCTGATTATTCTTAAACTTAAGGCCTATGGTCTGTCTGATGCCTCTGCTAATATCATGCAAAGTTATTTGTTTAAAAGACAGCAACAAGTAAAACTAATTACAATCTGTAGTGAGTGGAATGAAATAAACAAAGGGGTTCCACAAGGGTCAATTCTTGGTCCCCTCTTATTTAACATTTTCTTAAATGATATATTTTATTTCATTAAAAAAGGTTCTGTTTATAATTATGCAGACGACAAGACCCTCTCATTTAATCATATTAATGTGGAAACTCTCAAAAGCACAATACAAGATGAAAGTGTTGTCATGATTAAATGGTTTGAAGACAATCTTATGCAAGCAAACCCTGAGAAGTTTCAGGCTATATGTATAGGCAAACAAACCTGTAAAAATGTGTCAAAATTCCAGATTCTTGATGCCACTATTCCTTGTGAATCTCATGTAAAACTTCTAGGTATTGAAATAGATTCCCTATTAAATTTTGATATTCATATCTCAAATGTTTGTAAAAAGTCAGCAAGACAAATAAATGTATTAACCAGACTATGTCCTCTTCTTAATCTGGATGCAAAAATTCTTATATACAAAAGTTTTATCAGATCCAACTTTAATTTCTGCCCTTTAGTCTGGCATTTTTGTAGTAAGGACAATACAAACAAGTTGGAAAAACTTCAACATAGAGCTCTGAAAATTGTTTTTAATGACTATTCATCAACTTATGAAGATCTGCTTAAACTGACTAATATGTCTTCACTCCATATCAGTAGAAAAAACAACTCGCTATTGAAGTTTTAAATGTCTTAACAGCATTTCTCCTAAGAATGTTCAAGAACTTGTTAATGTGCGTTCATCAAATTATAATTTTAGATACCAAAAAACTTTAGATGTACCTAAAGTACGCACAACCAATTATGGTAAAAAGAGTTTTCGCTTTGAAGCATCTAAAATCTGGAATAGTTTATCTAATGATCTAAGATGTACATCTGACTTAAATGAGTTTTAAACGACTAATTGAAACATGGAGTAATGACAAGTGTGCCTGCTCTATGTGCATCTAATCGTTTATGTTCTATTTTACTTGATTCCTGTTTTTTGCTTGTAAATAAATTTAGTCTTTTCCTTGAATTATGTACTATGTATCTGTATATATGTAAAACCCTGTTAATAGATATGACTATATTTTCATTGTAAATGCTCAGATTTCATTACAATGACTATATAAATTAATTGTATGTATTTTTATCTTATGGTGTCTGTTTGTTTTTGTTTTCTTTGTTTCTTATTATTATTTTCTATATTTTGTTCATGTCGGATACAAGCTTAAAGCTTATGTTTTGTACTGTTAATCATAACCGACTATAAATAAAGTTTGTCTTACTGTCTTACTGTCTTACTGCAGTCTGATCAGGATCCATGCTGTTTGCTTACAAACCCTATTACAAGTAGAAAAACCGATAGCGAACAGCATGGATCCTGATCAGACTGCGAAGATGGGCAGGCTGGTCTGGATCCATGCTGGTCGCAAACACACTATGTTGGTTTTGTCGTGACACGGCTCAAATTCTGCCAGTTTTAACAAATGCACCATGGCAAACTTTGCTGAAACCGAAAGTGATTAGCCTTAGCCACAAAACCATTTAATAAATAAATTAAGGAGGGTTAAGGCAAACCCAAGGGGGGAAATAAAATACTAACATTCTTACCATTTGGTGCAGCTGAAGACGCAGATGTGTGGGAAATATCAATGGAGCCAGTATCAACTATTTCTCCAGCCAGAAGCTTTGCTATATCACTTTCTATTTCACTCATATCTATCACAGACACCTCAACTATTGAGTTACAACTTCTACAATTTCTGACCCTGGAAGTTCTTCTCTGTAAATGTTTTACAACTTCCTACTTTAAATGCTTCTTTTCAACTAAAATATATAATCATATAACATGTAATATATTGTTTAATTGGTGGGGCCAATTTTGATGTCAGGAATCCTCATCTCATTATAACAGAGCTTCCATTAGGTTTCAAAATTTGGATGTCAGAGACTGCAAATTGTCTGAGACTGGTTGTCAAATTATATATGTAAAGAAGGAAAAGCATTATAATCTGGAAGTTACAAGTCAAAATCAAGGAGTAAATGACTCTGAAACTTCCACTAATGGAAGCCCTGTTATAAGTAATATTCTCCCAATAAGTTTTAATTTCTATCTATTGGTTCAAAAGATACAGAGAGGACTTAAATTTTTTTAGACTGATACACAATGTTTAAATGTGACCTTGACCTGAGAAAGGTCAAACCTTGCACTCTGCACATCATTTTACTATGGTTACTATTTCTGCCAAGTAGTTTCAATTTCCTAACAACTGTTCTGGACACAAAAACTCCTATATAAGTCTATATAAATCAAGTAATCTGCAGGGTGGGGCCAATTTCCATCTCAGGAGGCCTGAACCTGTGTTCTGCACACTGTTTCATTACAAGTAATATTTATGTCAAAAAGTTTTAATTTCTTTCTATCAGTTCAAAAGATACAAAGCGGACACACTATTTTGAAATTGATACAAAATTAGTAAGTGTGACCTTGACCTGAGAAGGTCAAACATGCGCTCTGCACATCATTTCATTATGGTTACTATTTCTGTAAAGTAGTTTCTAGTTCTTTCCACTGGTGCACAACATACAGATCTGCAGACACAAAAACTGTTAACAGACAGACAGACAGATGACCAGGTGCATACCATTACCCCAAAAAATGTTTGTGTATAAAAATAGATGGCACAGTGTATAAAAATAGATGGCACAGTTATATAACTTTGTATTGATAACTTATCAATACAAAGTTATATAACTGTGCCATCTATTTTAAGTATAAGTAAATGTGGAATTTATGATGCCATTAGTAGAGATAGTATTTAAGATATATCCAACTTGCTGGTTTAGGTTAAATGTGCTGAAAAGCAGTAAATTGGAAAATATGGAAGTTATAGTTATACTAACTTGCCAAAAGTTATGTACTTCGTGTGTAAATCATGAAGCCATTGGTAGAACTTAAGATATATTCAACATTCTGGTTTACATTAACCTTGAATGAACAGCTCAATTACTAAATGCCCACGGGCATAAAACTACATTATAATATCTTTAGTTATTTTTTCAATATTTATTTGATCGTCAGCAAAAGGTGAGAAAAGTAAACGGACAGTCTTTGGCAAAAGTAGGGCTCCTTTGTTTTGGTAAATGTTCTATGCTTCTAAAACCCGTCACACTAGGGTGGTGCTCTAACGGCGTCTAAAGAAAATTCAGAAGGCCAAGGTGAGCGCAGAAAGATCGCAAATATTGCCCTAGTATCGCATGTCATGCTCAAAACAAACACTGTCACTCATCTTTCTGGTAAAAGCGCAGTGGGATGACAGTAAGAATGCTGTAGCATTTCAGATGCATCTCCTACAATGCAACAGGAGTGCTGTGAGAGCTCAAAAGGAATAGAGATTGTGTGGCGCCTCTATGTTTATACTGCGGGTGCAGAGCTTTTAAGGAGCTTTATGATTTCAGTGCAGTGTGAATGCTGCGAGAGCACCAAGAAAGCACAGTGGAAGCGCAAGGAACACTGTAGAAGTGCTGTCCTAAGGCAGACAATCGCCAATTAAATGCCGTAAGAATGCATTACAACGCTGTGGAAGCTCTATAGCAATGCCATGATCGCCGCGAGGATGTTGTGAAGTCTCCATGTCATCAAAAATATCACATTTTTTATTGCGATCTTGCGGCGCTTTGTTACATCTTACAATGCAGAGTAAATGCAGTGAAAGCGCAGTCTAGTCAGACTAGTGTGACAGGGCAATACCTTTAGAAGTGAAATTGATCCACTAGACCAGGGATATTTTTTTTTATTATTTTATAGCCGATATTCAGTCATATTCCAAATTGAAAATAGTATATTATTTTCCCAATCCACATGAACATTCAACAAATTCCCAAATGAAATCTGGGACATACGATAATAGTACATCCCAGATGAAATGTTGAAAGTTACAAAATAAAAATATTGAATAGAGAATTCTTAAATCTTTGAAAATAAGGGCTTCTTCACTGTTGTAGTTCTTTAATGTTTGAAGATGTCATCCTAGACAGTACTTGTTTGCACTTATTAAATCAAGATACCATCCTAGCTAAACACTGAATGTTTACTGTACACTCATGTTTAAAGATGTTACCTGAAACGAATGCAAAATTACCCAAACCATTAATATATATGTTTAAATCCAGATGAATAAAACATGACTATGATTGGGGAATGGGACAACACAGATATGTTACCTTCTATCTGTGACTGTCCAAGTTGTTGTCATACTCTTGAAACATGACTTTGTATACATGTAATCGAACCGTCATGCCTATAAATATATTATCTTCCCAATTGAAGAGTAACGTACAAACAACAACAACAACAAGTAAACAAAATATAAATGCAACGAGTAGTTTTATGTACATACCCCAGTTTTTGATATCGTAATCAGGGGGAAGTTCATTGAGCTTTAAAGTTGAACATTATAAAAGGACAGGTATAAGATATTAATGATGTTCATTTTTGTTTAAAAACGTACATAATCGTCGGGTGCCAGTTCGGCCTAAAACATATTCGACCCGAATGATCACGGCGTGTACCCAACTCGACAAATCAAATACTTTATTTACATCGACCTTTATCAGAGTTTCCGAATTTAGATTTGATCAGTTTGTGTACATGACACAAACCACTCGTGTTGTAGCTTTTTACAGACACTGATTCAGGATTTGCGTGTCTTAAAACATTACATATGGTGGTCAGTGTGTGGGATGTAGACAACTGCCTGACTGGAGTTGCGTACCCAATGAGTTCCCAGGCCAAGTCTCGGGACGAGATTTCACGCAGGGGAAAGTAATGTAACAACGATGGTAGAACATCATAATACTGATAATGAGCATGATAATACGATATGCAAAAACTAAAGTTGGGGAATACACCAATTGACTATTGTGACATTATGATTGATAATGACACATTTTGACATTATGTCAAATCATGACACATTGTGATGTTATGTAACTTAGATGATGACACATTGTAACATTATGTTCGATCATGACACACTGTGACATTATGTTAGATCATGACACATTGTGATGTTATGTTAAATCATGACACATTGTGATGTTATGTTAAATCATGACACATTGTGACATTATGTTACTGCAGTGATTTTTGTCACTTAATTTGGAAGAGGCCTTAGCCGCTTGATTTTGGGAAAAATTATTGCTTAAATTGATAATTTGGGAAGTAAAAAAGCAGGTTTAAGTTAAGATTTTTGGGAAAACTTTGTGATTTTAAAGAAAATTTCAATTGGGAAGAGGCCTTTTTTCGGAGTCTGTTATATAAACTGGTAATCAATGGTTAGATCATGACACATTGTGATATTATGCTAGATCATGACACATTGTAATGTTTATTCTTGCTCTTTTAGATGACAACTTCAAATTTCCATGGTGCTGTAGGAACAAAGGCCAAGCCAGTTACTTCACAGTTTCAGTTTGGACCATGGACACTTACAGCAGTAAAATCACATATTCTTGAATCTGAGGGAATAGCAAGACAAAGGTGATTTTACTTATAATTAACAGTTCAAGATTAATTATTTTATGATTTATTTTTTAGCTCACCTGTCACAAAGTGACAGGGTGAGCTTTTGTGATCGCTTTTCGTCCGGCGTCCGTCCGTCCGTCTGTTCGTCGTCCGTCCGTCGTCCGTCCGTAAACTTTTGCTTTAAATGACATCTCCTCATAAACCACTGAGCCAATTTCATCCAAACTTCACAGGAATGTTCCTTTGGTGGTCACCTTTAAAAATTGTTCAAAGAATTTAATTCCATGCAGAACTCTGGTTGCCATGGCAACCGAAAGAAAAATCTTTAAATATCTTCTTTTAAACAACCCTAAGAGCTAGAGCTTAGATATTTGGCATGAAACATCTTCTAATGAGTGTCTACCAAGTTTGTTCAAATAAAAGCCCTGGGGTCAAAATTGGCCCCGCCCCCGGGGGGTCATTGATTTTCCCTATATGCATATAGTAAAAACTTAAAAGATCTTCTTTTAAAGAACTGTAAGAGCTAGAGCTAAGATTTTTGGCATGGAACATCTTCTAGTGAGTGTCTACCAAGTTTGTTCAAATAAAAGCCCTGGGGTCAAAATTGGCCCCGCCCCGGGGGGTCATTGATTTTCCCTATATGCATATAGTAAAACACTTAAAAAATCTGCCTTTAAAGAACTGTAAGAGCTAGAGCTAAGATATTTGGCATGAAACATCTTCTAGTGAATGTCTACCAAGTTTGTTCAAATAAAAGCCCTGGGGTCAAAATTGGCCCCGCCCCAGGGGGGCATTGATTTTCCCTATATGCATAAAGTAAAAACTTAAAAAATCTTCTTTTAAAGAACCCAAAGAGCTAGAGCTTAGATATTTGGCATGAAACATCTTCTAGTGAATGTCTACCAAGTTTGTTCAAATAAAAGCCCTGGGGTCAAAATTGGCCCGCCCTGGGGGGTAATTGATTTTCCCTATATGCATATAGTTTAAACTTAAAAAATCTTCTTTTAAAGAACCGTAAGAGCTAGAGCTTAGATATTTGGCATAAAACATCTTCTAGTAAATGTCTACCAAGTTTGTTCAAATAAAAGCCCTGGGGTCAAAATTGGCCCCGCCCCAGGGGGTCATTGATTTTCCCTATATGCATATAGTAAAAACTTAAAAAATCTTCTTTTAAAGAACTGTAAGAGCTAAAGCTTATATATTTGGCATGAAACATCTTCTAGTGAATGTCTACCAAGTTTGTTCAAATAAAACCCCTGGGTCCAAATTGGCCCCTCCCCAGGGGTCATTGATTTTCCTTATATGCATATAGTAAAAACTTATAAAATCTTCTTTTAAAGAACCCAAAGAGCTAGAGCTAAGATATTTAGCATGAGACATGTTCTAATGGGTGTCTACCAAGTATGTTCAAATAAAAGCCCTGGGGTCAAAACTGGCCCCGCCCCGGGGGTCATTGATTTTCCTTATATACATAGCAAAAACTTAAAAATCTTCTTTGAAAAAACCCAAATAACTAGAGTTTAGATATTAAGCATGCAACATCTTTAAGTAAATATCTACAAAGTTTGTTCAAATAAAAGCCCAGGGGTCAAAACTGGCCCTGCCCGAGGGGTGTCATTGTTTTTTACTCTATGTGTATAGTAAAAACTTAAAAAATCTTCTTTTAAAAAACCCAATGAGCTAGAACTTAGATGTTTTGCATGAAACATCTTCTTATGGGTGTCTACCAAGTCTGTTCAAATAAACAAATAAAAGCCCTTGGGTAAAAATTGGGCCGGGGGGGGGGGGGGGGCTATATACAGGTGAGCGACCTCAGGGCCATCATGGCCCTCTTGTTTCCTGTCAGAGATCGTTTTGTAACCAAAACAGGTTGGTAAATAAATCGTAAGTCTAAAATATAATAATCTGACAACTTGCGCTCCTCTTTCTATGCATCTCTTTTAGTAATTCTTCTTATATACAAGTACATTGATACAACTGTTTCAAAAAAATGGTATTAAACAAAAATGACCATAATTTCAACTGAATGTAAGCATCATGTGACTTAATACTGAGTTTGATTCCTTCTACCAAAAGCTTATTTATAATCATTATCAACTACCTGCCCCAAACAATCTGATATGTCGTGTCATTTTTTTTTGTATTTAAAATTAGGCAGCATTAAAAGACGATGGACTACATATAAATTATGTTTATAACAAGAAAAATCAATCTCAAGATAATTCCCAGAGTAAGCCTTGCATGTTCTATAAACTATTTTTATAATAACAACATTGTAAAAAGGACACTGTACATTGTTTTATGTTGATAATATAAATATTGAACTTTGTTCTCTGCTCTTTTGCTTTGAATATGGTATATATAACTGCTCTTTGCTCTGTTGCTTAAGATATTGTTTATAACTTTAAATGTGTGTGTTTATACTTTAGATTTGAAGGAGAGTTGGAACTACCTCAGGTACCAGAGATGATATTTGCAGACAATGTGTTACGTTTACAACATGTTGCTGGGTTCGGTTTGGAGTTTAATGCCCTCGATGCACTAAAATTAGTTGATGCTCACAATGACCCTCTCAAAGTGGCGGTGGCACAGGCCTGGAAAGAAGCAAGGTAACCTGGTTTACATGATTCTTTTATTGACATGGTCAACATAAAATGCCCTTAAAGTAAAGATGCTGATACAAGGTAAATGTAAAAAGGGGAAAATTTAGAAACAGATACAACAGTCCACTTTATGTTAAATTGTTACATGTACAATGTACTACAATAACCATAATGTCTTGAAACTAAAATTTCCCCCACATTTGATAAAATTTATTTAACAATTGACACATTTGAGCCACGCCATGACAAAACCAACATAATGGGTTTGCGACCAGCATGGATCCAGACCAGCCTGCGCATCCGCGCAGTCTGATCAGGATCCATGCTGTTCGCTATCAGTTTCTCTGCTTGTAATAGAGTTGGTAAGTGAACAGCATGGATCCTAATCAGACTGTGCGGATGCGCAGGCTGGTCTGGATCCATGCTGGTCGCAAACCCATTATGTTGGTTTTGTCATTACGCGGCTCATTTGTTTTAATTATTTATGATGCTTGTTGGAGGAGACTTTATTTTAGAAAGAGGGGATAAATACATTGGAGATAAGGAATTTTGGTCCCAAATTAGCCCTTAAAAGCACTGGTATGCAAAATAAGTTTGTGAATATTGATAAATTATTGTACTTTTACAATTCAGGGCAGATTGTGAACATATAAATGAAGTGGTAAAACCTTTTGACTGGACATTCACTACAGAGTATAAAGGAACTTTGATAGGAAAAGATGGGGTTCAGTTAAAGGTATAATATCTTTTATTTATTAGTTACATTACATTTGATTGAATGTAAATATTATTACATGATTTTACTCACATAACCACTTTAACAAACAATGCATTATGTCAAATGAAATCACAACTTTAATTATCCAGATAGCTTATAGAACATTGGTGGTTCTATATTCAGGTGCCCGTTCATGACTGAAATAATTCACGGAAGGGCACCTGAGGTCTTCCTCCACCAGTAAAGCTGGAACGTCACAATATGACCTATACTGTGTTGGTGCAATGCTAAACCCAACAACTAAAAAGGAAAAAAAAAACAAAAAAAAACCCCAAAAAACAACAAATAAAACTTTAAGTCACTTCACATATAAATATAAGTAACAGATATTTTGTTGATTTAGTATTCATATTGAATTATTAATGCTTGTTTATAAAACAAGCCATTGCAGCTTATATTCACCAAATTCAAGCTCAACCACTGTTGATGTTGCTTGAGGACACATGGTCATTGAGTTGGGCTCAAACCCACTACCAGGGTTATGAGGAAGACACCTAAACCACTAGGCCACAAAGTTGAGCATAAAATAATATAAAATTGTTAGTTGACATAATCTGATATATTTACTTTTATGAGTTTTTTTTTATTGATGAGTCACAGTTCCATTATAAATCATTCAATTTCATGGAGTTGAAATAGAATCAGTATGAAGTTTTCAAAAGAACTGTTATTGGCTAAATTTAAAAGAACATAATATTATGTTTTCCTTTCTACTTTGTTGAGATCTTGCTTTTGATCATGTCTGTCAGGAGCACACCTGGTGGTAGCCTCAGCATTGATATTTCCCTGTAGTGTAAGTCAAGTTTACAGACCTGTTGTCCTTTGTTGACCTCCATCATTATATGAACAGCCATGTATAGCAGAATAAATATGTTAAGCCGTACGATTAGCTCAATATGAAGATCGTTGGACTGTGAATCGGGCATCCGAATTAGAATTCCGGACAGTACAGGTCACTTTCGTTGTAATTGATCATGAAATCCTTTCTACGGTCATTCGCTATATACCTCTTTTTGGGCATGTACAGAATTTTCAGTTCCTTGCGAAAGTGAAGGCAACTAGTACTGGTAAACTTCTTGACAGTTTGCCCAGGAACGGTGTGGTGGTTAAACTGTACTCTGGTAAATTAATTGTGGCTTACTGCTGTGATACGGAGTGAAAACTACCAATACCACCACCAAAATAAATATGACATTTCTTTTGTTGACAGGTTGAACCCACAGATGAAAGAATAGATCTGGAGAAATTAAAAGTTCGGGAAAAGATTCACTTTTATGAAGATATATTATTGTTTGATGATGAATTATCTGATAATGGCTCATCAATCATGAATGTTAAAATTGTAAGTGGCAATTATTTCTTTGTAAAGAACTTTATTAAAGCAGCATGCCTTCAGATTTTGTGATAGTATAAAACAAATTTAAAAGTGGTCTTGTTAGTAAAACTGGTATCAAGTTGAAGTATACAAACTAACTGATTTAACCATGTCCAAGTGACTTTTATCCACAGAAATAATACATAATGATTACTTGCCAAAATATGCATAGATTGATTTTACTTGGTTAGTAACATGATAGTATTTTGCTGATAAAAATTCTGTCATAGTTTGTATAATACAGTTTGTATATTATAAAGTTTTGACTGGATTGTGAATATTTATACATTTTTTAAAGGGACTCAACTGAGGTCTTTTTTTTAATTGGCAGGACTTGAAATATTTTTTCGTTAATTATAAACCAACTTTAATTATAAACCAACTGATGTAAACCTAATAATAAACTTGTGTGCAAAATTTCAGATCATTCACTCACTCCAGCTTTTTTTTTCAGAAAAAATATTTTGTGAAAAATTACCCAAATTTGAAAAGCATTTAAATGTTTTTAACTCAACTCGGGCTAAGAACAGCAAAAAATATGATTTTCAATTCAGTTCTTAGTATACACATGTATTTCTTTATTATCTTTTGCATATCTTTCAGCTAAAAGTGCCTCAGTTGGTTTGTGTAAGAAATACAATTTTTATGTTTTTATGCTTTGGGGCCTCAGGGGAAGTTAGATTTTATGAAGATTTTTTTTTTATCTTGAGGTGTGCTGCTTCAAAAACATCAATTTGACATTTATTTCATCAAAGCAAGTCTGAAACTAAAATATTGATACCAGAAGACATGCTTCAATTATGCTGACATCTTTGTTAGGACTACCAATATTGACATTTTAGTTTTCATTATTAGGAATGTTTGTACAAAACTATCGCACCATGCAGTAATTGTGACATTGTATAGTTTTTTATAGACATTATAGAGATATTTTGAAATAGTACTATAAAGAAATTTTTATGCTATTTTTATCTATATAAAGAACGATATACAGTGTGTGACTGCAAGCAAAAATCAGCATCGCCGGTTAGAATTACATCACCATCATATGACAGATGTTGATAGAAATGAAAAATTTATTGTCTAAGACACATACATTGGAAAATGAGCCAATCAGTTGATACTAAGATATGGACTTCACCTAGTATGTTTGTGGCATATAGCTTACTTGTAACACTGATATAAGGCATATTATATTTGTGAATGATGCTGTTCTTAACTCTTAAAGAAGTTTTAACAAAGGATTCACTTTTGAACATGAATTTTTTTTTAGACATATGTGGAAGTAAACAAGTTTTCTTATATTTCAGAGAGTAATGCCAACAAGTTTCTTTATTTTACTTCGACAATTTATGCGAGTAGATAATGTTGTTGTCAGGGTCCTTGATACAAGATTATATCATGAGGTATGAGGTGAAACATTCTCGTAAAGTTTGGCAACTCAAATAGTAAAGTTAAAATCATTTTCATGTAATATAAATAAGTTTTTATCTTCTATACACGTCATATTTTCCCATGTTCTTGATTGAAATTTTACCAATTTAGACTGACGATGTATGAAAATATTAAAGAGTCATATGGTTTTGTTTAATCTAACAACTACATGTATAAAGAGTAAAAAGCTTATAAAATCGTACAATTGTCATTGGTAAATTTCAGTCTGTCTATATTTTTGGACTTTAAGATCAGGTGCCTAGTACTTCCCTTAAAGCCTGGATCCAACTTAATTTGTAATGTTTATATCTGCATAGTGAATTGTTTCAGGCTGAGAAAGATTTTATATTGAGAGAACACAGTTATAAAGAGAGTAAGGTACAGGATATTCAGGTAATTATTCCTTGTAGTTTAAATTATTTCATAAAATTTTTAATATCAATCCTTAAAGGGACTCCACTGAGGTTTTTTGATATGATGGGCCTGAAAATATTTTTTCTAGATAAATGTACCATTTGATGTAGGTTTAGACCACTAATCTTTTTGCAAAATTTCAGATCATTCGCGCACTTTGTTTTTCCAGAAAAATTATTCAAAGTGTAAAAAAATGACCCAAAATGAAAAGCGTTTAAACACTTTTCACGCAAATCGAGCTAAGAAAAGCATAAAAATACGATTTTCAATTTATTTCAAAGTATATTTCTTAACTATCTTTGCATATATTTTTGTTTAAAGCGCCCCAGCTAATTTATGTAAGAAATACAAATGTTATATTTTTAGGCTTTTAAACCTCAGTGGGGTCCCTGGCTATTTTTTCTTGTATAGGAACTGTAAATATTATACTGCTTTCTTTGGATTTAAAAGTGATGGAAGACCTCCCAATTCTTCTATGTGCTTTTAATGAGAACAGGATTTAAATACATATTGGTATTAGATTGGTGATTTAAAGTCAGCCTAAAATAATGAATTTGTCAACATGTTCTTAATTGGCAATTTAATGTCAATTAGCATACAGCATCAGGATATTGGATATTTGATTTTATACTCTACTCAGCATTAATGAAAGAAGAAAATACTAGTCTCAAAATTTTGTCTAGACTAATTCCTTGCACTCAGATTGATGTATTCTTTGTAGAAAGTTTGTTTCTAAAATGCACATCATCTTACTACTAATAATTCTATAAAATTGTATATTTATTTTCCAAAATGAAAAGTTTAATACTAGCAATATGTTTTACTGTGTAGATAAACTTTCATCTTGTTCAGGTGGTGTAATTGTAATGCAGAGATAAATGAATGATAACGCTTGTTATACCATTGTGTAAGGGTAATTATGGCATCCATTTTCAGGGCATTTTGTACTTTTACTGAGTTGCTTTTTGTAAAAAGCTCTATCTTATGTTTATGTTTCTTATATTACAGGGCCCTCCTCATATTGTGACAGATCCAAACCAAGTGGCTCAGTTATTACCTATTAAAAGGGAAACATTTGAAAAACTGATATTTCCATCAAGTTCTATAAGCCAGAAAGAAGCGGATGCAATTAGATAGTTACTAACATGAATAAATACATGTGTGTTAGAAATAAATACAATTTTGTGCACTTTTTCTTTTAAACAAAGTTGATATTGTTTTTTGAAGTGCTAATGAAATCTAGAATGCAAATGAAATATAAAATTCAAATAAAATCGACAATTGCCAATGAAATCTACAGTTGCTAATGAAATTTACAGTACCTAATGAAATCTAAAGATGCTAATTGAATTTAGAATACTAATTAAATCTACTGTAGCTGATGAAATCTACAATTGCTTATGGCATCTACAAGGTCTAATTAAATTTAGAATACTGATAAATCTAGAATGCTAAGCAAATCTAGAATTTCTAATGAAATCTAGAGTTATTAATGAAATCTACTGAAATTTAGAAGTGCTAATCAGATCTAAAGTTCTTATCAAATCTAGAATTCTAATGAAATCATAGAGTTGCAAATGAAGTCTACAATTGCTTATCAAGATATCATGCTGAAATTTTATACCTTGAATGCATTACTGTGCATTCTTTCCAAATGCATGGTTATAAAGTAATACTGAACATATTACGTATCATTAACCCAAGTTCTATACACATAGAACTGTTCTCATTTATTGTATAGTTCATTAGAAACAAGATAAATGAGGACTAAAACCACACAGTGGTTAATATGGATACCGGTATATTCCTATTGGGACTTGTTGTACATATTGGCTCAAAATTTCAGGGACTTCAGATATATCTTGTGGTGTTCAATGTTTAAGATGTAGAATTAATTTTAATTTTGCTTTTAAACAAATTTCAAACCAAGGCTTTGATTTTTTCTAAATTTCAAGATCTGTTATTGCTTTTGCTGTCATGTAATCTGGTTTATTTATGTGCCAGTTTCATCTCAAAAATAAATCCAGAAAAGTAGAAAACATTTTATAAATAAAATGATGAATCATGTTAATCTGCTGAAATGTGTACATGTATTACTCATCTGTATAACTTTGTACAATTGTATAGAAGAACAAAGAATGTATCTTTAAATGTATTCAGTTTAATTAATAAAAATAAGAAGAAAATGGAGGAATACAACATGTCATCATTAGAGCTGGTTTAAGTTATTTTATTTAATATAATTAATAATTTAAATTTGTAATTTGTAAAATGAACTTGTACAGCTTTATGTTTTAGAAATCTATTAGTTTTAGTAGTAAAGTTGATTTCATTATCTGAATACTTAATTTATCAGCCAGACATCTGGACAGTCAGTACAAACACGCAGGCATGTCTGGCTCTATACTGACTGGAAAAGGTTGCTGTCTTTTAGTTCCAGTGTGTATAGTGTTATTAGGTTTTTGTTTCGCCTTTATAGACTGTAACTGTTAAGTAGTCCTTCATGTAAGGTACTTAAATCGAACAGCCAAAGACCAAGTTTTTTTGTTGAATGAATTGATTTCCTTCCAAAATTGAAAGAACATGCAGGCCTCGACACTAACATTTTTAGCAGGTGTTACGCCGGACCACTAGATTTGAAAGTTAGGTGGTCCTTCCAGAAGTCAGGTGGTCAGTTATCATTATTATAATTATCATTTTACTGCAAATGTAGAAAAAAATGTTTAAACTTTATGACAAAGATGTATTATTAACCTTTAAAGAAAACAGATATTTTTAGATATATATTTTTCATCTAATCAGAAAAGGGAGAGCAAGTAAGTAGGTATTTTATCGTAGAGTTATTTGTTTATTTGTTTTTATCTCAGTCAAAAATACACAACAGAGCTCTTATTTATGTTAACTTTTATATTAAAGTGATTTCTCCCTCAACTCAAGTTAGGGAATAGTGGAAACCATTTGTGTCTGTTGTTTTCTTTACTGTTAATAAATATTCATTGCTGATTCGTGGTAAGTCTTATAATCATTGATAATAACATAGTATCTTTTATAGATTAACATTTTTAATGGAACTAATAAAATTATCTTATTCTTGTCTTTGAAACAAGGAAATATTTCTAAATTATTAAACTAATGACAACGTTATTATTTACAAATAACTTATCTTATTTTTCTCGCAGATTTATAATACAGAATTTTACCTCCCTGTTGCTTGTTGCTTGATATTCATTTTTGACATTGGGTATTTTTAACCTTTTAAATATTTTTAACTCTAGAAGAAACAGATCTTTTATCGTTAAACAGTTAAAATAAAGATAAATAGCATAGAATTACTAGATGTATTTTTTCCAGTTCCCTTCATTTGCTGCCGTTATTCAAGTATCTGAAATTAAACGTTTAGGCCAATATCATATAATTACCATCATCGGATACTCACGGTTGATTAACATGTAACATAACAATAAATGTTAATGGTTCCGCCGTGGTTATCAGACGATGCATAATTACTAGCACCATTTGAATGAATTTTGTACCTAATTTATATCACAAATGAACCATATACATGTACATCGAACATAGATTTTAAACAAAATTATATAACATGTTTTTGACCAAATCGCCATTCTCCCAAATGAGCCTTGCATCAACCAGAAAATTCAAGTGGTCCGACGGACCAGTGGGTTTTAAAATTAGGTGGTCCTTGCCAAAATCAAGTGGTCTCGGACCAACGGACCACCGCTAATGTCGATGCCTGACATGTTATCCTAATTTAGATTATAGCTGATGCCTCAACCATTTCTCTATTGAAAGATATATTGATCTTAAATAAAGTCTTTAAAAATATATATGTGTGTTGTTGATTATCACCTCTGATCTTTAATACAGTAAATGAATATGATTAGCTATTCAATGGAAAGAAATATGAAAAAAAATTGATAACTAAAAGCTCAAAGTTACCTTTTCAAATTATGGTCAAATTAAAGGGGACCAGTTCAAATATGGAAAATGTTTTCCGCAATGCTTGTAGCACAAAAATGAAGTGTCAATTGCTTAATGACAAATAACAATAGCTGAATAATTACTGCCCAAAATGACATGGGCCATTATACACACTTGTTCTCCTCTTTTATTCTTCACAGACTCCGTATACATGTTACATTTCAGGTATCAACATATAATATAAAGTTATATAGCTATAAGGTTCCCTATCATTCTGTAGTTGTCAGACACTGTAAGTTCAAAGGTAATTTCAGTCTTGACAGGAGATAAGGTCACAGTATCGAAAGTCATGCTTCTATTTGTATTTGAAAACCCCTATTTTTTTAAGTTTTTGCATATTTTATTTAAAACAAAATTAATAGCTTCAAAGAATAATAGTGGATCTATCACAAGTCTGTTAAAGTTTGACATGCAATGTCTTGTAAAAATCATATCTCATTAACCACGCATAGAAGATTTATTTTGCTAGTAACTTCACACAATTATTTGAGATCACAATGGAAGGTTATTATCCAAGGCTAGTTGATGAAGCATGGCTTTAGCTGAATTATTGCCCTTTGTCAACTAATTTCTTTGGGATTATAATTTAAGCTTACTATCCATGGCCCATAACTCTGACATGGATTTGAATTGAATTATGTCCCTTTGCCAACTAAGAGAATTATTAATTTAAATTCTGTATGCAACAATTATGTTCAAAACTATTAATGAAGGTTTTATTTGGAACATATTGAAAAATTTGACATTAGGACACTGTCCAAGGCCCATAACTCTGACATGAATTTAAAAATTCTTTTGTGAAATTAGAAAATTCTTGTTTAATGTTTTGCATGCAACATCAATGTTCAAAACTACTGAAGGTTATTATTTACTTGAAACTAAACACACGTCTTTAAGGTCATAATTAAAGGTCACTGTCCAAGACACTGGCATGGGCTTTTAATGAAATTTAAACTTTTGAGAACTTAGGCATTTGGTCAATATCCAAGACTAAACACTTTGTCAATTTGTACTTTTTTGGAATGAAACCTTCCTCTGTTAGTTTCTACATTATCCAGTCTTTTAATTAACTATTAAGCACTAAGAAAAGTTGAGTGTGCTGTCTTAAATGACTGACAGCTGTTTCATGGAACATGTTGGATGCTTTCATCTGATGCAGTGTAGAGATGCTTTTTAAACTTGTTTTCATTGGTATAATAGAAAAAAATCTAGCAAGTGTCACTTATTGTTGGTGTTTTGAAATCTTTGGCTTCATTTAAGATCAAGGGAAAATACTCTTAACAGTAATATAATTATTTAGTACACAAAAGAATTAAAGGTAATTTAAGCTGTTGTTTTTTTATAGAATCTACAAAATATTAAGATGTGTCATCTATGTAGATGAAGAGTATAAGTTTATCAATCAATGCCTTAAACTCTTTCAATTACAGACATGACAAAATATATACTATTTTACTTTCAATGACAAAAATGTGTGTGCTTATTTCTGACATGTCCCAGATACATATTATAATATTAATAATTTAAATAATAAAAGTCTTATTAATTTTGCAAAACAACAGAAATCGGTTTTTCATTATTATTTCTATTTCCACACCTAATATTTTAATCACATGTTACTTTATACAATTATTATAATTACAACAATTAGTAAAGTGAAACATTTTTATTTCTAGTTGTCACAGTTTGCTAATTTTGCAAAAGAATAACTGTTGTACCCACAGTATGCTATAAAATATGTTACCGGTATATAATTAATTCATAGTTCTAATATAATTTTCTCTTGGCTTCCCAATTAATGAACAATTCATGCTGCCACATTCTCCCTCTATATTGAAATTTGTCATTATTTAAAATGGTTACAGTGACAAATCACTCTTGAGATAATTATACCTCCAAGAGCCACACATTGCAAGTCAATTGTTAAAGATTGAGAACTTTAGGCAGTCTGAATGAGACTCAAACCTGGGACCCTTAGAGTACTGTTGTAGCTCTGCTGATGCAGAGTTACCCTGGGCTGCGTAATATATTTTCTCCTAAATTAGTGAGCAGTGCTTTTACCTGTAAACCTCAAAGTAAAAGTATTTAGTCTCCTTCAGTGCATTTATTGTTTTGGAACTTATAATTCTCAAAGACTAAGTAACTGAAGCGTGTGATTTTATTCTACTCTGTTTTTTTCTTGCACATGCATGTACACATACAGGATTTTCCTGCTTTAATATAACAAACTCCTATAAAAGGTCTCTTCCCAATTGAAATTTTCTTTAAAATCATGCAGTTTTCCCAAAAATCTGAACTTAAACCTGCTGTTTTACTTCCCAAATTAGCAATTTTAGCGATTTTTCCCCAAAATCAAGTGGCTAAGGCCTCTTCCCAATTAAATGATAAAAATCACTGACATTACTGCAGTAAATGTGTATATTAAAAGATAGTTTTCTATATTGCCCTACTATTATGTATTAAATAAAGATAATTAACTGTTACAGTTATGGGTGAGAAGTATATAATTGATGTAGACACTGGTGTGGATGATGCCCAGGCTATAATGCTAGCCTTATCTCGTCCAGATATACAAGTTGTAGCCATCACATGTGTTGCTGGTAATGTTGATGTAGATCAAGTGTGTGTGAACACTCTAAAGGTTCTCTCTGTGTGTGATAGACTTGATGTAAGAGGACATTGTTTGTAAGCATGTTGCCTTTCTCATGTATGCTCCTATTATTATTTCATGTCAATTGTGAATGACTGACTGATAAATTGTTTTGCATGATGGTATTAGCTGGTATAAGCATGAATGAAAGATTTCAAAATTGTATCTTAATTTTGGATTTCAGACTCACAAAACCTTTTATAATTTCCTACACAAAACAATAAAGAAATTTGCAGCATTCGTGTGAAATATTAAAGTATTTCAGTATATATTTTAAACTGAAGAATGTATATAGAGTTTTTCTTTCGTATTAAATTCAACATCTTGTATTTGTAGAGTTCTAACATTGTCAGAGTGTATTGTGGTTATTTTGATAGGCCTTTTCTCCAGAAGAAAAAAGTCGGTTAGTTTAGTCCAGATTTTCTGTATGCAATTACAGGAGGTATTCTGTATTAAATTATAAAAAGAATTTTACATTAGTGAGCTTTTCTGGTGTAAAATGCATCACTTGTTAATAGTGTAAAGTTGATTACTCATTCAATTATTCATGATTCACACGCGTCCTGCTAGTTTCGAGGGAATGTGTTATATGGCGATATGACAATTCAAGAGAATGAAAAAAAAAGAGTTAAACTGTTGCTTATGCTGTATCGGAGGGGTGGGGGAATGATTAATTATATCATGGGTCATATATCTAGTAATTTGTTTAAATTAATGAAATGTTCTGAACTATAGAATTAAAAAAAATATTGAATGATATGTTTTGATGAGAAATATTGCAATATCTGATATGATTCACTCATGTAGGAGTATTGTAATTGTGCATGTTTTTATTTACAGTACCACATATTTTGAGGTAAAGACACTATTAAGATGCTGTCGTATTAATTCAAGGAAAGTATTCTTCAATGTTGTGATTTAGCATTCTTATTTATACTTTGTTGTGTCTTGAAAATGACATATAAACAATATAGAATGTAATTAACAATATATGAACTATTGGTCTAATTATAGGTTCCTGTGTACAAAGGTGCAAATATTTCTCTTGTTGATGAGGGTATAGAGGCAACACATTACCATGGTAACGATGGTCTAGGTGATGCCAACCTTGACATTGAAGTGAGTTTAGATAAAATACAGAAGGAGCATGCAGTATCAGCATTACTGAGACTTGTGAATGAATATCCAGGTATCAATTGTTAGTCAGGTATTCAATGTCAGTCAAGTATATTGTTAGTCAGGTATTCAATGTCAGTCAAGTATATTGTTAGTCAGGTATTCAATGTCAGTCAAGTATATTGTTAGTCAGGTATTCATTGTAATTCGAGTATATTGTTAGTCAGGTATCCATTGTTAGTCAGGTATTCAATGTCAGTCGGGTATATTGTTAGTCAGGTATATTGTTAGTCAGGTATTCAATGTTAGTAAGGCATCCATTGTTAGTCAGGTATATTGTAAGTCAGGTATCCTTTGATAGTCAGGTATATTGTCAGTCTGGTATATTGTTAGTCTGGTATATTGTTAGTCAGGTATATTGTTAGTCAGGTATCCATTGTTAGCTGTATCTATTGTTAGTCAGATATATTGTAAGTCAGGTATCCATTGTTAGTCAGGTATCCATTGTTAGCTGTATCTATTGTTAGTCAGGTATATTGTAAGTCAGGTATATTGTTAGTCAGGTATATTGTAAGTCAGGTATATTGTAAGTCAGGTATATTGTAAGTCAGGTATCCACTGTCAGTCAGGTATATTGTAAGTCAGGTATCCACTGTCAGTCAGGTATATTGTAAGTCAGGTATCCATTGTTAGCTGTATCTATTGTTAGTCAGGTATATTGTAAGTCAGGTATATTGTTAGTCAGGTATCCTTTGATAGTCAGGTATATTGTCAGTCTGGTATATTGTTAGTCTGGTATATTGTTAGTCAGGTATATTGTTAGTCAGGTATCCATTGTTAGCTGTATCTATTGTTAGTCAGATATATTGTAAGTCAGGTATCCATTGTTAGTCAGGTATCCATTGTTAGCTGTATCTATTGTTAGTCAGGTATATTGTAAGTCAGGTATATTGTTAGTCAGGTATATTGTAAGTCAGGTATATTGTAAGTCAGGTATATTGTAAGTCAGGTATCCACTGTCAGTCAGGTATATTGTAAGTCAGGTATCCATTGTTAGCTGTATCTATTGTTAGTCAGGTATATTGTAAGTCAGGTAAATTGTAAGTCAGGTATATTGTAAGTCAGGTATCCACTGTCAGTCAGGTATATTGTAAGTCAGGTATCCATTGTTAGCTGTATCTATTGTCAGTCAGGTATATTGTAAGTCAGGTATCCATTGTTAGTCAGGTATCCATTGTTAGCTGTATCTATTGTTAGTCAGGTATATTGTTAGTCAGGTAAATTGTCAGTCAGGTATATTGTAAGTCAGGTATCCATTGTTAGTCAGGTATCCATTGTTAGCTGTATCTATTGTTAGTCAGGTATATTGTAAGTCAGGTATATTGTTAGTCAGGTATATTGTTAGTCAGGTATATTGTAAGTCAGGTATATTGTAAGTCAGGTATCCACTGTCAGTCAGGTATATTGTAAGTCAGGTATCCATTGTTAGCTGTATCTATTGTTAGTCAGGTATATTGTAAGTCAGGTATATTGTTAGTCAGGTATATTCTTAGTCAGGTATATTGTTAGTCAGGTATATTGTAAGTCAGGTATATTGTAAGTCAGGTATCCATTGTTAGTCAGGTATATTGTTAGTCAGGTATATTGTTAGTCAGGTATATTGTAAGTCAGGTATATTGTAAGTCAGGTATCCACTGTCAGTCAGGTATATTGTAAGTCAGGTATCCATTGTTAGCTGTATCTATTGTTAGTCAGGTATATTGTAAGTCAGGTATATTGTTAGTCAGGTATATTCTTAGTCAGGTATATTGTTAGTCAGGTATATTGTAAGTCAGGTATATTGTAAGTCAGGTATCCATTGTTAGTCAGGTATATTGTCAGTCAGGTATATTGTTAGTCAGGTATATTGTAAGTCAGGTATATTGTTAGTCAGGTATATTGTTAGTCAGGTATATTGTAAGTCAGGTATATTGTAAGTCAGGTATATTGTAAGTCAGGTATCCATTGTAAGTCAGGTATATTGCTAGTCAGGTATATTGTTAAGTCAGGTATATTGTTAGTCAGGTATATTGTTAGTCAGGTATCCATTGTTAGTCAGGTATATTGTTAGTCGGGTATATTGTTAGTCAGGTATATTGTCAGTCAGGTATCCATTGTTAGTCAGGTATCCATTGTTAGTCAGGTATATTGTCAGTCAGGTATATTGTTAGTCAGGTATATTGTAAGTCAGGTATATTGTCAGTCAGGTATATTGTAAGTCAGGTATATTGTAAGTCAGGTATATTGTAAGTCAGGTATATTGTTAGTCAGGTATATTGTTAGTCAGGTATCCATTGTCAGTCAGGTATATTGTAAGTCAGGTATATTGTAAGTCAGGTATATTGTTAGTCAGGTATCCATTGTTAGTCAGGTATCCATTGTTAGTCAGGTATATTGTTAGTCAGGTATATTGTTAGTCAGGTATATTGTAAGTCAGGTATATTGTTAGTCAGGTATATTGTTAGTCAGGTATCCACTGTCAGTCAGGTATATTGTTAGTCAGGTATATTGTTAGTCAGGTATATTGTTAGTCAGGTATATTGTTAGTCAGGTATATTGTTAGTCAGGTATCCATTGTTAGTCAGGTATATTGTTAGTCAGGTATCCATTGTTAGTCAGGTATATTGTAAGTCAGGTACATGTATATTGTTAGTCAGGTATACTGTAAGTCAGGTATATTGTAAGTCAGGTATCCATTGTTAGTCAGGTATATTGTAAGTCAGGTACATGTATATTGTTAGTCAGGTATCTATTGTTAGTCAGGTATCCATTGTTAGCCAGGTATATATTGTTTGCAAGTTGTGTGTGCACTGTGTAGTAACATTGAAAACACAAAGCCTCTAGACAAAGGCTTTATAGCCCATGGTTAACAGCATTAAGCCAGTATCTTGGAGTTGAGGCAATATTATATATGTATCTTGTAGGAAAAATGATAACCAACGTAAAGAGTTGAACTAAAATTTGACAGTAACACTATGGTTATAATTGATGTACATTTTTAAAAATGACTTCAGTGATAAAAAACATTTGCTATCATGTTTCTGAAATAATATGAACATAGCAAGGTAGAAAGTTTTTAAAAAGTCAAACCTTAATAGTTCAGAATTAACTAATTTGCTTAATACCAAGGTCTGTCTTTCAGATGTTAAAAAGGAAAGAAGTTACAAATAATTGATGTTCTTATTATATCTTAATGTAAATTTTCAGGGGAGATAACACTTGTTGCTCTAGCACCTCTCACCAACATTGCTATAGCTTTGAAACAAGATCCAGACTTTGGCAAGAAATTGAGAAGGATATCAATAATGGGTGGTAATACACAAGGTAAATGTTTATGATTATCAAATAATGTGTATTCATAAGGATACATTTAGCTTTTCTTGTTTTCTGATGTAAATGTTAGATTTGATTATAACCATGTAAACTAAAGCATTGTATATTATTACATTTCTGCATTTTTTAGCAATTCATTTTTCAGTCAGATATTAACAAAAATATTAAGTGGTTTCAATGTGTTTTACATTTTAGCAACTGGACGTGTATCACCTTGTGCAGAGTTTAATTTTTATAGTGATCCTGAGTCAGCATTTATTGTGTTGGACAGAATACAGAAAAAAATAATGATAAATTATTATGAACAGAATGCAGGGTTACCTTGGGTAGGTAATACTGCATAAAAAACATTGTTGGAATAATCAAGCACTTCTGGCACTTATTTCTACCAGCAATAATCAGCCAGACTGCACTGCTTATCCAGCCCAATCAATCTATAAGCTAGCCAATCAGTTCCAGCTAATTCAGAAATTCTTAAACTAATAGTAAACAATTTCAAATTAATTTCAGTACTTGTATATAATAAATGTGCTGTTTGGGAAAGGTTCAAAGGGAATTGTGACTTAAGCATTGCTTGCATTAAACTCTAGTTTCACTTTACTGTGCTTATTGTTGAAAAAACCCTGCTTAAAATTGGAAATTTTCCAATTTTAAATAAAGTAATTCTATTCTACAAATATTAGGGCTATTCTTTTCCCCCTGGTGTCGGCATTGGAGTTAAATTTAGATCTGGGCAGCATGCATCTTCATATCTCATTATCCACTCCAGTTAATTGTTTGAAATCACTTACTTGTCATGGTTTATATCATAAATGTAGTTCATTGCCCAAGACCCAAACTCTTTATTTGTTTTTGCACTTTAACTTATAAGTTAATGATTATACCTCAACATTGACAGTAGTTAATCCACAGAAACTTTACAGATGTATTTATTTAATTACTCTAGAAAATGGTTTAGATATACTAATTGAGGGCATGGATGTTTAGACTGGTCTTACTTTACAAGTTATTATAGCCACTATATTAGCATGATTATGACTTATACTGTGTTGATGTGACGTGAAACCCAAAACAAACAACAAAGTTACTGTTCTATATGACATATAAATGTATACATAATGAACATTAGGATGTATTTCTGTCCAACATCAATCTGAATTATTTGGGGGAAAAAATGCCCAACTCTGTAGCAGTTTCCAGTTGGTTTGGTATTATGTTTGATAAAAGGTCCAAGATTCAGCCACAAATGTCAACATACATGTCTCATGTTAAATATTGTGGTTTAGATTAATGTAAAAGCTGCACAGATTCTTGTCAGATATTGGTTCTTATCTACAAAATAATGTAGAGGAATTAAATTCATTTGTTTTCACATATTGAAGGTTAAATTTTGTTCTAGGAAGAGGTAATAGTACACTGTGTGGGGAGTTCAATTTTGCTTGTGATCCTGATGCTGCTTTTGTTGTTCTCAATGAATTATGTGTACCCATTACACTGTTCCCATGGGAAATAAATCTCACATCTGCTGCTGGACATCCTTGGGTATGTTTTATAGAAGGAATAGCACATTGTGGATGTCTGTTTAAGAAATATGGAGCATTGTGTGTAATATTTACTACATTTTACTAGCTCACCTGATCACAAAGGGTCAGTAAGGGAGCTACAATGATCATGGAAAATGTTGATTACACTACAGATCACAATTTTTTATCTACTGCAATACTTTGTCAGCTTGCTAAAATAAACGTTTTATAAGGTTTAAGTCAATGGAATGCTTTTACAGACTCTGTTCTTTGAAGTATGATTTTTTTAGACTCTGTTTTTTGAAGTATGATCTTTTTTATGTTTCCTTTTTTTGCTGAAATTATATGTTAAAATACAACAATTTATCTGCATTTATTTATACCTTGTGATTGAGGAGTTGCCTTGTTCAATGTGGCTTAGAGGTTGCCTTTAAGGGTAAGGCATCAGAATTGCAGCCACTGTTTATCCCTGCATCCCTGATGTTGCTTTAAGTTTGTAACACCTTATGTAAGCCTAAATCATCTTTCCTGTTGCAGTGCAATATGACCTGAATTGTGTTGGTGTGGCATAAACCAAACCAAACAAACAAACAAAATCTGTAATTTAAGCAGATATTTGATTATGGGATAACCAACTCCAATCTTCTTTTACTGTGAATGAAAATGATATAGCTAACTGTATATACAAACTCTGTAATATAAGTAACTCTATTATCAAGATAATATCTGAATATTATGTAATGTGCGAACTTGCATTAAATTTTGTTGAACTCAAATATCTATGACCCAGTTCAACAATAAATACTATATTTATGTTAAATTTCTCTGGTTTACGAAATTCTAGTCAGACATATAGGAAACTTAGTGTGTGTCAATAATACAAGATTTGATGCTATAAGAGATAATATCTTTCACGTTATTGCAGGAGTGGTTTGACAAGTGGATCCAAACAGACACTTCGAAAGGAAGGTTCAATAAAGCTGCCTGCAGATTAGCTGTCTACAGACAGAGGGAAGTGAACAAAAATCCTATATATAGGTCATGTGATCTCAATGCCATAGCAACTGTAATCAACCCAAAAATAATTCAAGAAACAAAAGATGTGTTTGCTACAGTTGAGCTGCATGGAAAGTATACACGTGGAATGATGGTAGTTGATTGGCGAGGTTCATTGAAGAAATCACCTAATGTTACATTAGTTGAAAAAATTGACACTAGTCTGGCCAGACCAATGTTTGAAAATATGCTGAAGTAAATAGCTTGTTAGGTTAAACATACCTCAATGACTGATATGGTTGTTGGTGCTATTCACAGGGAAGTTGATTTAATTATCATACTTTGTCAAGTTTTACTTTTGGAGCTGTCTGCAGTTCTACAGTGGACTTAGTTTTGTGAAAGCATTTGTTTATTAACCCTCATCCTTCTATACACGGAAGTGATTAGCCTTGTCCATCAATATAAAGCCAGGCAGCCAGCACATCTGTGTAGTCTGACCAGGTTTGTTATTGTTGGACGACCAACTTCAAATATTCATCAAAATTGATAAAACATTGGTCCAATAAATATAAGGAGACCAGTCCATTTATGAAATTCAGATTAAGGGTATATAGATAGCTTTATTATATTACTCTAATTTGCTTGTTTTCCACATTTAATTGCTGTATACTCCACATATATACATGCAGGTATCAAGAATCTTCTAAGAATTTGTGAATCTCATTATGAATGTTCATTGTGCAAATCTTGCAAAATATATGATCCATAAAATTTAACATAAAAACACATGGAAGTTCACATATATTAAAACATACGATAACTTATTCATATGAAAGCATGTGATAACCATGAGTTCAACATATGTTTGTTTACATTTTTTCATATGGTCCTGGTTTCACATATTTTATTTTACATACGAAAAAATCATCTTCTTAAACAAAGATTTTTCAAAACATATGAAACACATATGTCTTACATATGTAAAAACATATAGTTTACAAACATGTGGTGCATTTTTACCAGTTAAGTTGCTGTTATCTCCACAAACAATTGCTGTATCTCAAAAAATAGCCGTATTGTCCAAAAAGAATTGCTGTATACATTGTGCACAAAAAAAATGCTGTATTTTCCAAAACAATTGCTGTATTCTCCACATACAGTTGCTGTATTCCCAGAATAGTTGTAACACGTGGCTAACCATATGTATTCCCTTATTATTTTAAAAGATTACTGTTACAAAAATGAGTTTATGTTGCTATGTGTATGTGACCACTGTTACAAACAAATTGACTTTAGAATTTTGATAACTTTACATTAGATGTATGAAGTACAGAGAAAAGCATTCTCAAGTAATTTTTTATACCAGAATATTTCTTATTAATTGATAAATTTGCAGATTTACATATTTCTTTATTTATGAATGCTTAAATAGTAATCTAATTTTTAGTATACAAGTTTATTTATAAAAAGCAGTGTTTACAAATATATAATATTTTATTTGCTTTCATAATTATTTTCATGCATTCATGATATTTCTTTACAAATTAATGCTTTAACATTATAATTGTTAATATTATTAATTTCCTTGTTAATTATTAATGCATATTATTAGGATATTATATTAATTAGTGATACAATATTAATGAATACAATAAGCACTATTTTAACCAGTAATGTATATTTCAGACACATTTGTATAATAATTAATGCTTAAACAGTTTCAAGTATATTCAGAAATCTTGTACATTTAATATAATTTTCAATTACTATTGTCAACACTGTGATTATAAGTGGAGATAGGAGAACCAGTGTAAAGTTAGACAAACCTTTCTTAATCAGACTGTACTGGAAAATGCTTGTTTTTTTTTAGCTTTTGGAATGCCTCTTACAATGGACATTTTCTTTAATGCAATACAAGAAAAGTTTGTTTAATATATTATGCCGGGTAAAAGTTAACTTTAAACATTCCAGCATTAGTTTCATTAGATTCTCATTCAAAACAACCAATTTTATTTATTTGTAGCTGGCTTTTAAAAAAGTCATGATGTATATAATAATTATCTCTCCTTCTGTATATATAAGTTATAATTTAGTTATTTTTCCTGTAAGATGGAAGTTTATTGTTGTTAGTGATGCATGATTGGCAATGTACTTTATTTGATAAGTTTTACTTTAGTTTTATATGCAAAAATTGTACAGTGACTAGACTTTAATAATAGATAAAAAATAGCCTATATATCTATATATGAAAATGTGGGATCGATATTAGAAGTGGCGAAACGACAACCAAAGGTCTGCTAATGGAATTCTCTAATTTATACAGTTTCACTGTGATTTTATACTATGAGAGAAACAAGAGTGCAACAAATTGAATTAAATTAGTAATATACTTTATACGCCAGAATCTCATGTTACGTCTATATACTCAGTAATTCTATATACTCAATAAATTAGATGTAATTATTATTGTTGTCATATTTAAATGGTCATAATACTGTTTACTGATCTTTGTTGTTTAGATGTTGATGAAATAGCCAATGCATCAGATAAAATACTAGTAGTTACTGCAGGCAACTGTAAAGAAGTCAGTCGTCACATATAATAAGCATGTATAGCATGCGTGTTTAATTAAATGATTAAGCCAGACTTACCTTTGGAAAAGGGAAGGCGAAGGTTGATCATGATTTCATCCGACACAAAAACCCCTTAGGAACAGAACAGGACAGAACATACGTTTTATTTAGACTTGTACATAGTACATCGCCATGCATATAGATAAATAAAACAATTATCACGTCACGTGATCATGGTAACACAAAGTACAATATGATACTTAGAATATATAATAGAATGTACATTGTTATGAGTAATAAGTAAATATTTTCTCAATCATAGCAGTAATAGAAATTTTACTGGCAACCTCACAGGATATTGTATACCATATTTTACCCAGTGAGTCTAACCATCCCACTGAAAGTAAAACTCCCTCCCGATAAAGGCGAAGGATAGATGTTAACCAGCAGCAAAACTAAATACTTATTGAGCAGTTTTTTTCTAGATAGAGAACAGTATCATTACAAACTACACAAAATGATTTTATTTATGGAGAACTTGGTAGAATATCATTTCATTGTAGACATCTTTTCAATATTGTAAAATTTTGGATGAAAATATTGTGTAGTAATGAAAACAAAAATGTAGGTAGAGTTTATAAATTGTTGAAAAGTGATTTTGAAAATAACCCAAATATAGTAAACTGGTGTTCGAAATTAAAATAACTTTTATGTTTTCTAGGATTTTATGATGTCTTGTTACAGCAGAGTGTAGGAGATATTGATATGTTTCTAGCAATTTTAAAACAACGTTTAAAGGACAATTTTGTTCAAAACTGGCATGAAAGATTACATAACTCTAGTAGAGCTTTATTTTATAGGACAATAGCAAATTTTGAGTTTCAATCATATCTAGATATTTTTAATGCAAACAAATTGTGCCAAGCTATGGTAAGGTTACGAGTTTCCTCTCATAGGCTACAAATAGAGGCTGGACGTTGGTCCAGACCTACAAGAACTCCAGTTAATGAACGAAAATGTTTAATTTGTAATGTTTTAGAGGATGAATATCATTTTATATTAGAATGTTCAATGTATACTGAATTAAGGAAACAATTTATTCATAAGAAATACTGGAAACATCCAAATATGGTAAAATTTATTGAATTGTTAAACAATGAAAATGATACAAATAGAAAGAAACTAGGAATTTTTGTATATAAATCTTTTGAAAAGAGAAATGAAATGCTATACGGTTCAGTTGAGTAATGACTTATTTTTGTTGTAAAGCTACTTATATGCATAGTTGTAAAATGTGAATTTAAAACATCGTTCTAGATAAAAAAAAAAGACATGTAGAAATTTGATATTTAATGCAATTTTCATGTTACATGCTTAAATTTAATCCATGATTCCCGTCTTGCATTTTGTTTCGGTAAGGCTGGTAGTTAAAATGGATGTAATTTGTATGTTCTTGTTATACTATATATATAAATATTGTTATTTTTGTACTAAATTCATGCAAGGGTTATCTTTCTTTTTACGAGAAAGATAACATATTACTACATGTATCTCAATGTATATATATATATATACAAATTCTGATTGTAATTTAAGGAGAAAATAATGTTTTTCAGATTACTAGTCTTAACAAATTTATACTAAAGTCATACTTTAAATGATATGAAATGAAATTATTAAGAATATTAAACTTTCGTATGTCATGCTTGACCTTCTCCAATGAAAAGTCTATGTAAATCTAATATTAATTTTGTTCGCTGTATTATGCACATAAATCATGCTTACTTTGTATTGTACATGTATATATGTATGCTTGTATTGCCATCATGGGCGAATAGCCTTATGGAATAAATGAAATAAACTCTCTCTAAAAAAACTCTCTCTCATTAAAAGTTATACATGTTAACACACAAATATCATATGATAATGTATCAAATAAGAGAAAATACCTTTATTATTTAAGAACAATGCATGATTACACAAACAAACATGATGTTATAATATATGAGAATTTAAAAAAAATTATTTTCCAAGAGGATGTTAAAAAATCAAATATTTAAGAGAGTATTTCTGATTGCCAAACTTTCTTTAATGTATCTTGCTAAATTCATCAATAAAAGCTTGTTTGAAGTTTGCAATAACTGAATAAATTTGAACATCGATGGTCTAACATAAAAATATTTTTTTATATATGTCTTACGAATATTATTATAACAAGGACAAACCAGAACAAAATGATATTCATCTTCGATATCAAGGGTATTACAGCCACTGACAATATCTCTACGTTTCGTGGTAATCTAATGTCCTACTATATATCTACCAGTTTGTATTCTGAGAGAATGGGCTGATAAACTTATTTTGGAAATATACATTCTAAACTACGTGGTAAAAGGTCGAGGTAAATTTCACATACGATAAATTAGTTTTGCAATTTTTATATAGATGCTCTAAAACATTATTATTTTTCAATGATTACCATGCCAATGTCTGTACATAATTATCAAAATAAGTCTTGGTTTTAAATATTCTAGGAAATAATCTTACCATCAACATTATCAACTAATTTTATAAAATAGTCAGCAAAGCCAAATGTATACAATAATCGTTTAACATTTGAGAACCCAGTTATTATATCCATGTTCACAATCAATAACACTTTGTTCATAAACTTTTTTTCATAATTATATTATCAGTTTGGATTGTTTTACACCAAACTTGATTACTTTAACAAACGAGCAATATATAATGGCCATCTTCCTAATTCACCGTAAAACCCTGCATTAACATGTAACTTGTTCTGACATTTAGAACATTTTTGGCAAAAAATTTAAGGTGTATACGTTCAATTCTCTTTAGATTTAGAATGTCCCCATACTTCAGCAGAAGTAATTTAAGATAGAACCAACAAATGAATCGAACAGTTGGCATTTGAGTTTAGGAGTTTAGGTTTTATATTCATATTTTTTACAATTATAATAGTAAAATTTAATGCCTTAAGGCCTTTGCCAAATTAAGTGTTCCTGGACTTTAAAGCAAAGTTGCCCTGTATATTGAAAATATGTAGTACCCACGGGTAGTTAAAATTATCAAACTTTTTCTAATTGTTGCCCATGTAGTACCATGTTTCATTTGCACTACCCACCTTTTTCCTAAAAACCATAACCTTGGTAACGATTAACTTTAGCCCCAACATTGCGTAATTTATATAGTTTATCTAAATTTGTCTGGAATTTTCTGGTGTTACCTAAAATTCCCAATCTCAGCAAATAACAAAACTATAACTATAACAATTGTAAACCTACTTTGATACAGAAAATAAACCCCTAGGTCTTAAACAAAAAAAAACCCCAGATGAAATTACCTCCCCTTTGTTTAACCCACGCAACAAAAAAAGGGAAATAAACTGCAAGAACGAACACAAGTTTTAACTTTATCGTACATATTTTTAATAAAACAAATTTCCTAAACACCACATTATAAATTTTAACCATAACAATTTCATTAAATTAAAAACAAATTTAAACAATAAATCAACAAAATCGTTTTTTTGTGTTTTTAATAATTTATAATTTAATTAAAAAAAATAGGGACAACATAACCTGCCTTTTTTAAATCCAAACTGGCACAGAAATTATAGTTTTTTTCACAAATGCTTCAATCGTTATTTAAAAAAGATTAAAAATTAAAAACAAATTTCGGGTAATTCCCCATAATTTTTTACAATTAACACGTCCTTTTATTATAAACAATTAATTCCCTTTGGGGCCCTTTTTTTGGAAAAATCCCCGACTCAAAAAGCAATTTAAAAATCACACAATTAACCCAAAATATCTATTGATTTTTAAAGTATTTTTTAAGAGAAAAAACGGGCCTGCAGATTTTTCCCTTTTAAGAGATTTGACAGCTTTTCCAAAAAATTTCAGTAATTGTAATTGTAATATTCAATTCATCGAAAGCACAGCCAGAATCATAAAAATTATGTGTCTTCATAAAAATCATTTGCTTCTTTCATTATTACATTCAAAGGAACGTCGTTATATAAATGTTTAAAAATGACTATAAAAATTTTCTACTGTAATTTCATTGTTTTGTGCTAAATTTTGTTTCTTTTTAAAGTACTTCCAAAATTGTTTCGAGTTTGCTGAACCTTAATTTTTCTATATCTGCATATTTACTTCATTAAGTAAATATTATTTTCTTTTTTCTTATTATATTCTATATTCATTGTTTACATCTACAAAAATTATTCTCTACTTGATCTTGTTTTTACATGCCATTAAACGCATTCAAAAGCGTCTAAAATATGTCCGCTTTTGTTCTTTTTACATTCATTGTCGAACCCAGTCTGCATCGTTTTTGCCGGGGTCGTTGTCGGAAAAATGGCCTTACTTTCTTAGGGTTTTTGCCGGTGGTTCTGGGGGTTTCTTATATGGCTTTAAAAATAATGATCAAAAAAACCTTCGCCTCCCTTTTCCCAAAGGTAGCTTTTGCAATTATTAATGTTTCATTCCATTTTAAACCCCTTTAACCCACAATTGTCAAAAGGGGGATTACTTATAACAGAATAAAAAAACAAAAATTTTGGAAACTTTTTTTATTAAAAGAAAAAAAGCCCTTTTTTTAAAAGTAAAGAAAAATTCTTTTTTTTCTAAAATTTTTAAAAAAAAAAATTTTTCCCAAAATAACAATTTTTCAGAGGCCCTTTTAAAGTTTACAGTAAAAAAATAACAAAAAATTATAATTTGGTAAATACAAAAAAAATTTTTTTTTAATTTTTTTTTTCAAAAAATAATTTTCAAAATTTAAATTTTAAGACAAAAATTTTCAAACTTTTTAAATCTCCCCGTTTAAACCCCCCTTTCTATTTCAAAAGAAAAAAAAATTGTA